CAAAGTCATGACACACCTGTGTTTGGTACTGAAACAGTTGAGGACGAAGAGCATCCGACCAAGAAACGACGTCTTGGTCAGAAAATGAACTTGGAAGCCATAGCACAAAAATTCACCAGCATCAATTGGCAGACAGTGATGACATTGGCAGATCGACTAGCTCCCCGAGTTGGCACTATGATCGTTGAACATGGACCACTGTTTCAGCAGGTGCAACACATGTGTAGCAACCAAACTGTGAAGCATTTGGTTTTGTGTAGAGGCACAGACCGATATGTTGGTCCCAACAAATCAATGTTTCCTGGAGAAGCCCCTTTGCGGCGCATGGTATGCATCCGTAGGAAAATCGAAGATGTTCAGGTGGACACTGAGTGGGAGCCCTGGGAAAAACTCACGTACAAAGGCCTTCGAAGAAAGGCCATGCCAGCCAGGGTGAGCTTGACAATTTTTGCGCAAGCCAAGTCTATGACTGAGGAATCAGGGAGAATTTCTGCCGATGCTGCAATCCCAGCGATGCCAGAGAGAGATCATGCTCCGCCATCTATTGCACAACCCTCAGCCAAGAGGATCCGATGGGACACAATGCCAGAAGTTGAAGTACCCAGATCATCAGACTCATCATCATCCACCCCTCCATCAAATCCATCCCTAAGGACCAGTAACAATAATCCTGATAACCTTAACGATAACGTTACCCCAGACAACAACAATGAAAATACTGCAGTACTTCCAGAGAATCCAAAGGCCAAGGAATTCCCTGAAGTGGACCGAAATGTTATCGACCTAGCCAGCCAAAAACATGGACCAAAATTCCTCAAGCTAGAAGCCAGTGAGCAAGCATGGTTGATCAAGATTCATAGGAACCTAGGACATCCTGGCCCTCAGAAGCTGATGGAATTTTGCAGGCAATTGAGATGTCCGGAAGAATTCCTCCAAGCAATTCCGGATTTGAATTGTTCCACGTGCAAAGAGACACAACAGCCGAAAGTGGCACGACCGGCCGCTATCCATGAGCCGATGGATTTTGGTGAAGTCATTTCTATGGATGGGGTAACTTGGACCAATAGCAAGGGTGACCAGTTCCATTTTTATCACTTCATTGACCAGGCAACGTCATACCACACGGCTGTAGGTTCTGTCTCAAGATCGGCCACCAGTGCAATCCAATCCTTGCTTCAAGGATGGTTCCAATGGGCGGGTGCTCCAAGCATGATAGTGTTTGATGCGGCGACCGAGTTCAATTCTGAAGAGTTTGAAGCTTTTCTTCAGCGCTTCAATGTCAAGAGCAAAACATGTGCAGCCGAAGCCCATTGGCAAAACTCAAGGGTAGAGAGACATGGGGGGGTCTTGCAGATGATGCTTACCAAAATGGATCACGAAGAAGGTATCACCTCCTACTCTCAACTTGCGACAGCCTTAATGCAAGCCACTATGACCAAGAATAAGTGGAGTAGGTATCGAGGATATCCCCCTGAAATGCTTGTTTTTGGGGAAAGCACGAAATCACCTGCGTCGGTCATCAGTGATGATGACTCAGCTGCCCATGAATTTGCCTTGCGTCCGACAGCAGAAGGGTTACGCTTCCGAGCGGAACTTGAATGTCGGGAAAGAGCTCGTTGTGCATTTGCTGCTGTAGATAATGATCAAACTCTTAGGAGAGCACTTCATGGTAGGAGCCGCCCCAGCCGAGGGCAATATGCTGCTGGGGAATGGGTCATGTTGTGGAAACAAAGAGGGGAAGCCAGTGGTCAATGGGAGGGTCCAATGAATGTCATTATCCAAGAAGGAAACAAAGTGGTCTGGGTAACTAGAGGAACCAAGTTGTATCGAGCTGCCCCGGAACACCTTCGGCCTCTCTCCGCAGTTGAAGAATGGAATCGAAATCAGCAAGTTACCAATGAACATGGAAATAATCCGCATCAGAATGCACTGAGTATCATACCACCTCATGGAGCCACACAACTACACAACCTCAATAGTCAAGCTATACCTCCAGATAACAGTATGCCTCCCAATTCCAACACTCGAACAGCCATTCACATTCATGATGATTCCAGTGAAATTCAAAGTGACCCTGAACCAGAAGCCACACCTGGCAATCTCACACCTGAGGGAGGTGAGGATGCGTCCAACAGCCTACCAAATCAGTTTCCTCAGATGAGGTCAGACAGTTTGCCACCGTTGTCGGCTGAAACAATTGCTGCACCTGTACAGACACCGATCCCCGAAGACGATGACGATGGTCTCATGGTAGAACAGTGTAATTGGTTTGAAGATCTCAACGAGTGTTTTCATCTATCGGAGGATCAAGTCTGGAAACTGGAAGTGGACATCAATCATGCCGACATTGACAAATGGCGTCAGGAAGCAGATCCATATGCCATGTCATTTTTGGTGTCAGCAGCTAAGAAACAAAGGAGTGAAGTCAAAATGTCTCAACTCAGTGAGACTGAACGTCAGATGTTCCATCAAGCCAAAATGAAAGAGATTGACAGCTGGCTGGCAACAGAAACCGTGGCAAAGGTTTTAAGGCACCAAATCCCTGAGGAGAACATCCTGCGATGCCGATGGATTTTGACATGGAAGCCGGTGGACTCTCCTGGTCCCAAAGATTCCAAACACGTTCCTAAAGCCAGGTTAGTAGTGCTTGGATATGAAGACCCTTTGGTGCATGAGATACCACGTGATAGTCCAACCATGTCAAAGCTTTCCAGGATGTTAATAGTTCAGTGGGCCGCTTCAATGGGATGGGATATCGAGTCGTTTGACATCAAAACTGCCTTTTTACGAGGTCAAGAACAAAGTGAAAGAGTGCTTGGGGTAGAACCTACTGCTGAACTTAGGGAAAAGCTGAAACTCAAGCCAAACGAAGTTCTTCGACTGTTGAAAGGAGCATACGGACGAGTCGATGCACCCTACTTGTGGTTCATGGAACTGAAAAAGGGATTGGAAAGCCTCGGGTTTATACCTTCACCATTTGATCCATGTGTATTTGTGCTGCCAAATGAAAAGTCCGGAACTCCAGAAGGTATGGTAGGCATTCATGTTGATGATGGTTTATGCGGTGGCTCAGAAGTTTTTCAGGAAAAATTGAGACAGCTGTCAGAAAAGTTTCCTTTTGGATCACATAAACGCAGAAACTTCACGTTTACAGGACTCAAGATCGATCAACAACCAGACCAATCCATCCATATCCACCAAACTCAATATATCAAAGATATTCACCACATCACGGTTTCCAGAGACAGGAGAAGTAAACCTGATGACCCTGTCACTGACTCTGAAAGACAAGAATTGCGAGCCCTCATTGGGTCGTTACAGTATGCCGCCGTCAACAGTCGCCCTGACCTCTGCAGTCGTTTAGGATGGTTGCAATCACGAATCAACAGGGCACAAGTCTCTACGTTGCTGGAGGCCAACCGAACACTGCACGAAGCAAAGCTTCATGCAGAGGTGACAATCAAAGTTCAGCCGATTCCGATTGCAAAGTTGCGATTCGTAGCGTTCTCTGATGCCTCTTTCTCTTCGAATAAGGAGCCGGATTCCCACCAGGGTATGATGATCATGTCATGTCATGAGAACATAGGAAGTAACCAAACTAGCCCTGTGAATCCGTTGGTCTGGCACTCGAAGAAGATTCAGAAGGTGGCAGTGAGTACGCTCTCGGCAGAAGCGATGTCACTTGCAGGCACCGTAGATATGCTGTCTTGGGTTCGTTTGTATTGGGGTTGGATCATGAATGTGAACATCCCTTGGAAGAAGGCTGATCAGACATTGCTGCAATTACCACCTGCATTCGCCGCCATACCACCAAGTGACTCTGAAACTGAAGTACCTTCCTGCCCTGACAATACATTTGAACTGTTGAAGCAAATTCCACAAAACAACAAAGCCATAATAACCACTGATTGCAAGTCCTTGTACGATTTAATCAGCCGAACAGCACCTCCCAGCTGTGGAGAATTTCGAACCTTACTCCAAGCCAAACTGATAAAGGAACACCTGAACAATGGGATCCAAATCCGTTGGGTACCCTCAGCCGCACAAGTTGCCGACTCACTTACCAAGGTCATGGACAACACAATGTTGCGAGAATGCCTCCATTTGGGGAAATACTGTTTGCACGATGAAAGTGAGATACTTAAAGCAAGGTCTGATTCCAGGTCTCGATTGCAATGGTTGCGACAGTCGGCAGCTTCATATGGGGAACGATAACCGAAAGGAAAAGCCAAGACGTCCTTGATGGTGCATCTAGGAAATATGAAACAGATTGCTTGCAACTGGCACATTGTGATTTTTTTTTGGTTATTGGGTATGTGAAACCACTGCCATTTCCCAATGTGCAACTCCTTGTCAGCCTACATGTGCACCATCCCATACATCCATCTTTGCCGAAGCCTGGGGCTCCGTGAGCTAAGCAGGTGGGTGGGCATAGGCTTTGAGCCATAGGAGGATCGTGGCCGATCCCTTGCACCGTGTGCATTCAGCGATTGGAGGAAAACATAGCGGACGCTGCGGTGCAGCGAGGTGGAACCTTTTGGGAGCTCAGGGAGCTCAGTTGGTTGGGCCGCTACCAGTTCTAAAATATATACAATTATATATATATATATATCCATATATATATATATTGCAAAGATTTTAGCTCAACCATTTCTGCCTAATCCGGGCTCAGATGTTGAACGTGGAGGACTCTCTCTGCAGCAAGGAATAATATATCCATATATCTGGGTAAATTATAACGACCTCACTGTGACCGAGCCCTGGAATAATGGTTCGGATTCGGAGATCATCCCCAAATGGCCTTAATTAATTCAGGTTAGTGAAATATTATGAGATTTACCCATATATATATAAAACAGTAATTATTCCATAACCCATAGGATCCATGGTGCTGCTATATATGATAACATGGATCCCATCCATATACCCCCAGTCATGTTAGCATATATACCAGCACCATGGATCCGTCATCACCACGAGACCACCCTCGACCTGTCGAGGTATGCGGATCGCCTGAGAGCCAAGCTGGTGAACCCACAGCCCAAGATTCGAGTGGATCGGACGTCGCCGTGCGACGCACCCAGTGGACCCAGGTGTTGAGGGGGTGTTGTGTTAAGAAAAACCGGGAGTTGATGGTGATTTAATGGTGATTTAATGGGATTTAATGGTGATTTCATGGGATTTACTGGGATTTGAATAGACTTTCATGGAATTTTAATGAGAGTTGATGAGATTTAAGCAGATTTCAATGGAATTTAATGGGATTTTCGATGGGATGTAATGCGGTTTAATGGGAATGATGGGATTTAGTTGGGTTGACCATATGCCATATGCCATATTCAAACTACCATAACCATCCACAACCATATGCCATATTAGCATCTTTTTGTCTACATATATATATATAATTATATATATATAGTACTGCAGACATATTATATTACAAATAGTATGATCGAGTATGACAATGGTTGATTGATATATTAATTATTCATTGGATATACTACAAATAGTAATGCACATAATTTATAGAGTGAATTGTGGTTGTATACTGGGATAGGTCATACATGGTCAGATCATGTCAGATCCTAGGACCCGGAAAAAAGATTTGATACATATTGATTACCTCAAAAAAAACAGAAGTTTTGTTGGTTCACTTCCCATTTTGCTTGATCTAATGCATTTAATGAGATGTTTAGATCATTTTAGATCCACAAAAACTATCTTAAACTATTCAAATCGCCATGTTTTTTGGGGTTCAATCGCGGTTAACTCACCATTTTCCTCCGGTTTTGGGACCCATTTTGGTTGTCGTCACCCAACTCGTCATTTCTTCGACGTCGCGCGCCCAACTCAGGTCCTCCTGCCGCGTCCACGGCGACGATGGCATGGGCTTTGTGGTGGCGACCAGGGCTACAGAAGAGGCGATCCGATGGAGATTTTGATGTGAAAATCATCTGATTACAAATAATATATGATATAGTATATTATGTGGATACATCTATAAAATACAATACATATATATATATATATATATATTGACACAAGCCTAATAGCTCTAACAGCGAGCACGATCTAGAGCACGATTTTTGGCACGAAGGAGAGCACCAAAAAGCACGATCTAGAGCACGATTTTTGGCACGAAGGAGAGCACCAAAAAGCACGATCTAGAGCACGATTTTTGGCACGAAGGAGAGCACCAAAAAGCACGATTTTTGGCACGAAGGAGAGCACCAAAAAGCGCGATATGGAGCACGGTTTTTGGCCCGAGGGTGAGCACCAAAAAGCACGCGATTTTTGGCACGAGGGAGAGCACCAAAAAGCACGATCTAGAGCACGATTTTTGGCACGAGGGAGAGCACCAAAAAGCACGATCTAGAGCACGATTTTTTGCACGAGAGAAAGCACCGAAAAGCACGATTTTGTGTTCGAAGGAAAACACTCAAAACAACGTTCGCCCAAGATATAAAGGAATCCTTTTTTTGTCTGTTACAGCTATTACGACGGACTCAATATATATATATAATCTATAGATTACATACTGTAGTGGATAATATATAATATATATAATATAGATATATTTATATAGTATAGTATAGTATCCGAGTATAGTATCCGAGTATGAATATAATATATAGATATATTATAGTAGAGTATCCGAGTATCCTATAGAATCATCTATTAATGGGAAAATCATCTATTAATCACTATACAATTTAATTGATTGGCATGATTGGTGGTTTGGAACATGGCTTTTATTTTCCCCAATAATTGGCATGATGAGCCAATCTGACTTTCATATTTTTCAGGGGGGTAGGTATACCACCAACCAGTAATTAAATAGTGGATATATAGTATAAATATATTATCTATCATATATAGTATAAATCTTTTCCACTATTTTAATATCATCTATAGATATAGATATTAAATATCCACTATTTAATTAATCACCGGATATTTATAGATATCATTAGATATCTATATTGAATGGATGATGATCTATCCACTATTTACTATTATAGATTGTGGATGATCATGGATTTTCCAGTTATATAGAGGGTATATTTATCCCATTGAACATCATGGAATTACCTAAGTTCATCCCATCTAATTAACATATTTAGAATAGTGGATTACAAGTTCCTATACCTTTTTTTTCTCCGGTTCCCTGCCATACCCTTGTTTTTTTTCCGCCTTTTTGCATAACCACTAGACGTTGTACTTTCAGATGGGGAGCTGGGAACAAACCAGATATCACACGGAAACTACATGGAAATCCCACTTAACACATTCGAAATAGAGGGTTATAGCATTGGTACAGTAATTAGGAACCACTGACCAACATCATGATATGTTTGTTTATAGTTAACGGGGAACATCTTTTCTAAAATTACAAAAGTGAAAAAGGGGATGATACATACATGAAGTATATGCTATGGGAAACAATTATAGATCCATCCAATGGTTTGCCATAGATGCTGTGGGATTCCCAGATTCTGTGGGTCTGGAATTGCAGTGGTTGAAAAACGACGAATTCCGGCAAGCGGGTTTGGGTGAATCATCCGTTTTTTATTGGCCCATTGTTTGAAAAAGGTTGGTGAATTCTGATGACATTCAGCCAGACATGTAGCGACATCAGAATACACCATTTTGCCAGTAATCATGGCGACATTGGGATATCCATATGTCCACAAGAAAGGTAGTGGTGCCCTAACCCTAAATTCAACATTGACAAACGCACACTGGCTCAACTGACCAACCAGTTTCAACTGGGTTTACCACAGTTTACCTTCTGTATATCTAGGGCTTATCTTGGGGGTCATATCTAGAGGTAAGTCAAGGTATGTCCGTAAGTTGTGGTCCTCCCAAATCCATCGGCCGTCCAAATCTTTGGAATGGATTTCCACCACGGTAGAATCCCGGGAATCCCAGCCTTTTTTCTAAGATATGTTGGGCAATACGGCAATACGGTAATATGTGATGTTGGTATATATGGGTCAAACAAAGGGCAGGCAATTCATGCAGAAAAAATGAGTGGTTTGAGAATTAAACCAACGGGGATTCATCAGTAGCCATACCTACCCCACTGACCAACCAGTACTCCAAACTCCTGGACTTTCGCAGATGGTGGTCCTGAAAACTCCTACAAAGTGGGAACCCCAGTGATAAATCGGTTCACTTTCGCCCATTCAACTGCAGATATATCTATTATGAATCATGAATCCAACGATGATTGCAGTTCTAAACCAAATCCCCATGTTGATGCACTAAACCACCGGTCAAACCACAACAATTTTCCTGGCAAGATTACCATACAGAAATTGCTGGGTCACCTACCTGAAGGGAGCTCCACATGGTAGGCCATTCGCATCGCCGAAGAGCAAGGTGCAGCGCTGTGTGACATCGTGCGAAAGGGAGCAACGGAAGACACTAGAGTACCATAACAATAGGCATTAATGGAGATTAACGATTTTACCCTCTGGTTATTTAACATCGCCATGGAAAATGGCCCATTTATAGATGGTTTACCTATTAAACATGGTGATTTTCCATGGCTATGTTAAATAACCAGATGGCAATGGATATGAATGATATTAATGGATACTGCTGGATTTCACCAACAATGGATATTCATGGGATATCTTAATTGGGCCGACTGGATGGGTGTCCAAGATTGGCCATGGATTAATCATGGGCATACATGTGGGATTTCCCATAACCAGTTTGTGTATCCATGTTTTTTGAACATGTTTTTTCGTGTGAAAATGCTCCACAAAAGGGGTATGTTAGGGAAAACACCCTTTACATGAATTGATTACCCTCTGATAAACTAACATAGCTATTGAAAATGGCCCATTCATAGTGGATTTACCCATTGAAAATGGTGATTTTCCATAGCTATGTTAGTTTACCAGAGGGTACCAGGGGGGCTTGCCGCGTCAATTTCAGGACAACATGGACTCTGAGACTCCACCAAAGCCGCTTGAGATGGGTCAAATCTTGCTGATGGAATAGCCTCAACACTTCACAGTTTGCTATGGCAAATCACCATCTTGAAAATAGGTAAATCAACGAACTAAATGTGCCATTTTCCAGTTCGCAAACTGTTAGTCATTACCAGAGGGTAGCCTACTGGCTGATCTTTACCCAGCTAACACCTTTGTTTTTAGCTGCAGGTTATCACAAGCCATGACGAGTTTTGAGAAAAGTGAGCTCCTTGGAGTGGCCGGGCCGTTGTGATATGAGGCCCTGGCCTGGATTTCCTTGTGATATGAGGCCACCATTTTTGTTGCTGGTCTTATGTAATGATTGGATTATATTGGATTCATCCCCCCATGAATCGATGTTGAAATTGCATGAAAAAGAACATATCTATATAAACATATATATATATATATTAAATCTCTCTCGGAGTTGCTAGTACGTACATTCGCATGCATGCTATATATTATAACATATTATAAATACGCTCTGGTAAACTAACATAGCTATTGAACATGGCCCATTTAGTTCGTTGATTTACCCATAAAACATGGTGGTTTTCCATAGTTGTGTTAGTTCACCAGAGGGACAATCCAGCTCACTTGGTTAAATCCTACCGTCCTACCGACTAGCACAGGTCTAGGCTTGGCTGGTGTGCATCGCTCCACACATTTCGGATGCTCCTCACGCTACGTGATGCAGGCACCACTGCGGAGGGGCCATGTTAACCCCAAAATAGATGCCGGAAATTGATGAAAAGTGGAAAAATGAAAAATATGATCATTAGTGATACCGTACTTCAGTAATATCTATATGAAAATGATATTTCGATCACTAATGGAAAATATGATCAGTACATATCATCGAACTACCATCCTGGAAACACGTTATTGTCTTTTTGGGGGTTGCTATACTAATAACGATATCTGGTTTTGTGTCCGCTATTTTGGCTTACGTTGGTTTGATGAAGAGCTGTTTGTGAGTGGATATGGACTTGAAAAGGTTTAATCTGCACCACAACAACAATGGGCTGTAGAAGCAGCTAATGTGGAGGTGTCATCAAATATTTTATTGAATAATATTGAATATGAGGTTAAATATTAAGTTTTCCGGTTTGGCACCCCATTTAAGTAGTTCAATATATAGCTACCATAAATCCAATCGTCATCCTGGTGAAATAAACGCATTGGGGGCACCATCGAATGATTGGATATTCTTTGGTTATATCCCCATGATTGATAAACCATGGTTGATTTCATACCTCAGCTATGAACATTATTAATATTGCTGGTTCTATTCTCCCCCGTTATGATCTTTTTCCAGATCATCACCAATTACATTACCATATTTTTCTTTCCAATTTTTGTTGACGAAATCTCCTATTTTGCCTGGCCAAATCCCTTATTTTTGCTGGCTCAGTCCCATGGTTATTTTTTGAGTCGAGGCACTGGAGGCGGACATGTTGAGCTTGGTCGAAGGGCCCAGCGATGATCTTCCGATTTTCCCACAGGGACATCCACTTGGGCAATCTATGGCAATCTAATAGCTGGTTGGTGGTTTTGAACATGGCTTTTATTTTCCCCAATAGTTGGGATGATGATCCAATCTGACTTTCATATTTTTCAGAGGGGTTGAAGCCACCAACCAGATAGGGCCTATGTTTTCTTGGAGCAAATCCAAGTTTAGGTCTAGGTCAACAAAGTACCTTGGAAGTACTTGGTTCCATAGGGGTAAGCTCGAACATGGATGATTTTCATGATTACTCGGTTTAACCGTTTAACCCACCAAAAAAAGGAAATTGAGCTGGAAATATGGGAAGGTTCCTCGGTTGTGCACGCGAAAACCGACTCGGTTGTGCACGCGAAAAAACAACTCAGTTGTGCACGCGGATGATGCTGCTGCTGCTGATGATGATGGTGATGATGATGATGATGATGATGATGCATTCGCGATCTGTTGCGACTGTGTGCTTGTAAGTAAGTAACGCGCATACATGGTCCGGTATTGACCCTATTGCGTTTTTTATTTTTATTTTTCTTCGGTTTCCCTACTACTCTCCCCACGCGGTCTCTGCAGTGATGTCCTTGGATTTCAGCTGTGCTGTGTTTTCATGTCAGTCTTTTTGCACTTTTGATATATATAACGCGACGGTTGATATATTGTTTATAGATACCGTGGCGATAGCCTCGCGTTAGGTAAATATAGAATGGCGCGACCGCGACTAGATTTGCAATTGTTGAGCGGGCGTTCATTTTCCAGATTGCTTCATTTACGTTATTACCCCGCCCCCCCCCCCCCCCCCCCCCCCCCCCCCCCCCCCCCCCCCATCTGATCATGAATGAGCAGTGCCTGTATCTGCTGGACAAGAAAGATGATAAGGTTGCTGTGCCTGTGTGTGCGCAGGAACATGAACGTTATTACCCCACCCCACTCCACCCACCCCACCCCACCCCACCGGTAAGCGATCATGAATGAGCAGTGCCTGTGTCTGCTGGACAGCAAGAAAGATAATGACGTTAACAAGCCCCACCCCATCCCCCGAAGGCCCTGTGTGTACAACTGAGACACTTTTGTGTGCGCAAGTGAGTCAGAATCCTGTGTGCGCAGCTGAGTCAATTTTGTGTGCGCAAGTGAGTCGCCGTCCGAAATATGGGGATGAAAGCTGAAAGCCGTAAAAACATTGGGTTTAGCTTGGACGAATGGGGATGATGCCTGCAAGCATGGGGATTCATTGCAATTGGGACGTAAAGAAACAATATTTGGTTCTGAAACTGTTTTGAAATGCTGGTAAGATTCTGACATTGTGGATTCAATGAGTACTAGTACAAACGGTGTGTCAGTGTTTCAGCAAGGAACGTGTTGTATAATTAGGCCACAGGATGTACGAACGGCAAGCATGGGTGTCATTTTTTTCAACAATGGCTAAAACCGTTGTGTAGTTCCTTACTGTTGATCTCTCCTAATGTCATTCATTGTGGGTAGACAAAAGTGAGACACGTGACGGATGGGATGGGGTGACTCGACAAAATCCAGAAAGTGAAGGGATACCTTTGCGATGACCTCGATCCCCCCTCAGCAACCTATCACAGTTGTTTTTCTTTATGGATCGCTCAGAAATCTCATGGAACTTCGCTACTCCATCAACTCATCTGCTCACTGAACTGCAGATTCCTGGATTTGCTGAAGAGTTTGGTTGAAGATCATCCAACATATTTCAAGTTAGCTTTTATGGTACTGATGTAATTACATGTAATTACCCTATATTACCCTAACATATCCCCAACATATCTGTTGGACTGATGGAGCCCCTGGCGTATCCTATCCACACCGCTGGACCCTGGCAGAGAACGGGCCGAGGTGTTTACCAACTCCTCACCTGCTTTGCCACCTTTTGGAGGCACCATCGGGTACCACGTTGAGTCACAACGGGGTACCACTAGTTGGACCTCTGGTCACTGTCCATGGCATCCGGGCAAGGCCTGGCAAAAAAGAGCATCCATTTTTTTGGGGTTGATCGATGTTGATCATGTTGACCCCAACCATCCCCAACCCATTCATCATCCTTCAACCCATCGTACAAAGCCTGTGGGAAGAAGGGGTTTCACGCTTCGGTTTCAGGGCCGAAGGGGCGATCAGAATCCGAGGGTGTCGATGTTGAAACCACCAACTGTACGACTTGTTTTCTGGGTCAGAATTCTCACCAGAAATGAAAAGATGGATTGTTTAAGGCCAAACAAACATGACCAATTTGGTTCCGAATGACATGTTGCCCCATCCCAATTGATGTTTTGGGTTCGAGGGGCTTGTGGGTTGAGACAATACACGTACAAACACGTATGACAAAGAACAAATGATTGCTGGAAATGGTATTGGAACCAGCAAACATGGAAGTAATCAGTATCTCCATTCTCTTTTCCAGTTTGTGGGTTCACACCTTCGAAATGAAATCCCTACCCTACCTTGGATGTATTTTGAGATAAACTGCTAACAAACAATTTTCGGTGTCATCCTGTCACTGTCGGCTAAATCCAGATTTTTTTGACATCAATGCCTAATTTCTGTCGTATAATTCCTGATATACCCATGTTGATTGCTGGAATCTTCCTTCTTGTTCGCAAGCAAAAGCAATTTCGGAAGTTCTTTGATATTCTTTGTATTTGGTGTTGCTAGAAAATCAGGCAATCACCACTAAATCCTTTGGATCATCACCATTTTCCCTATTGAAATTGCCATAGCCAGGCGCTAAGGCCTTGCTTGGAGCCAGCCCCTTTGCTGCGGGTGCACCAGCGAATCAAGCGCATCCCCTGGTGCTGGATATGTGCGCCCTTGGATCGTGGGACTGGGACAGTGCTGAGGCCACCATGAATGCCCAGCAAAGACCCTGATGTTGGTTGATTCTTCATGGTTACTTCCCAGGCCATGTCAACATGGTGTAAGTCATGAAAATTATGTTAACAAACATGTGAGCATTCAGCCGGAAATTGGGGCTGGGGCTTCGGGGTTCGGATGATTGGAACTAGGAATCCGGACTTCAAAAGGACTTCAACACGTAGACATAGAAGTAGAACCAATCCACAATGGATAAGTCATCATCACAAACATGTTGATTTGTCTCATCATTATTATCATCATCGTCATCATCCTGATCGTCGTTGTGATCGTCACCCTAATCCTCATCTTCTGTTCAAAATTGTTCAAATATATTTTCTCTAAGATATTCATTCTTGCTGGTTACCGTTAGTTCTACATAATTTCCTTGCAACATTTCCAACGTTTCCGTCTTAGCTCTTCACTTTTCTTGTTTTGATCCACACATGTGTTTTTTCTTGTAGATTATCATGTGCGTGTCTTTTTATCCGCCTTCTCTTGGCTAAATCTCCATAGCAATCTCCAGATAGAAACCTCTTTCAAGAATTATGGATGATGTTTCCCCAATACACTCTGGTTATTTAACATAGCCATGGTATAGATGGCCCATTTATAGATGATTCTCCCAATAAAACCTCCATTTATGGTGGGGATTTTCCATGGCTATGTTAGTCATAACCAGATGGTAATTTCCAGGTTTTCAACTCTTCGATCTATAGAATGGGCTTATCGCTCGTGCCGTTGCAACTGCACCAAGCCCTGGGGGTCCCGACTGGGGCCAGGTCCACCACGGTCATCGCCCGCGGGAAGCTCCGCTTGATGGCACAGCGTGGAGAAGAAATTCCAGAAGGAGGGGGTGGGGACCTGGGCCAACAGCCACATCCTGGGAATGGGATAATCTAGATGATATTATATATATATATATGGGTAAAAAAATGTTGCGACCGAAGCCTGTTCTCCCGAAGCCTGGAATCATGGTTTTCATAAGGGAAATCATCCCCATGTGTGGCCGAACTATTCAGGTTGGTGAATTATTATAATTTACCCAGATTATATCTAGTACGGCGATCGTATGCCAATATTTTATGGAATGTGCTTCGAGAATAGATATATCTCAGATATGTATATATATATAATATAACTTATATAACTAAAACTGATAAGCCAATAATGCGTCTATGACCAACTTAAACATGGGGATATAGAGGGATGTAACTGATGTAACCATCAAACATAGGGATAAAAATATGGATGTGTATTGGATCTATTGATCCAAGCCAGGGGCAATTTCAGCCAGGGGCATCATCTCACATTTGACCCAGCCTGTGGCACTTCATGTATTTATTCTTGGACTTATTGGTAAACGATCCCACCTTGTTCCGTTGTTTTTTTTCACTTCAATCTGTGGTTTCCTGATGTTTCTCAGTGAGATATAGTTGGATCCCAACTGTTTGTTGAACTTAATTCCTGAGCTCCCCATTTTGGCACGATTCCCACTTCAAACATCCCAAAGATTCGCTTTCCAGCCTCCCAGGAGTGGGTCTGGACAAAGAAGGTGCCAGAAATTTGCAGGATGATTTTAGCGATGACAGAAGGAGATGCTAAGCGATTCACCAGAGAGATTCAAGTGATAAATGTACAAAGTGGTGCCCCCCAGTGATGTTAGTTGGTTAACAAAAGCCCCAGTAACTATGGTTATAAGTACCATAAACCATAGTGAAATTGGAGTTATTTGCACCAACTGAACGCTATCTTGGGGGCCTCACATTGTAGGAATTCAACCAGATTTGATGGTGGGTTTATTGATTTTACTGGGGATTGAATAAACTCTGGATTCATCACAAGCGATTTTATAATGCACGATTCTCAAAAGCCAGTATGGGTTGTTTCAAAGGGACTTGACCACTACTCAGTTCATCAATAGTTACATAGTCTTCAGATGTCTTCAGCATCTACCCCTACACATTTTTTTGGGACCACCTTGGATGGCTAGTTTAGAAAGTTTTTGTTACTTGGATCTTTTGCAAAAAAACAAGAGGATTTTTCGACCAACCAGCATCAACGAGCATGAACCAGCTACATGTTTTTGGCATCTCAGATTTGTATCGGACCTAATAATGAGCATTTGTCAAGTATGCCTACCTGATACCACGTAAATTTTTACAGTATACCCTCCGGCAATCACTTCCATGGCTGGAGAATTCATGATTAGCAACCATTGATTTTCCCAGCGAAGTATACCTCCAGGCCGACCCACTCGAGATGGGATGGAGGCGGGAGGGAAACATGGTGAGAAATCATTGGACCTGGGACTTGGTCCGGGACAAAGCCTGGTGATGAGTGGCTTACCCTCTGGTAATTTAACATAGCTATTGAAAATGGTCATTTATAGTGGATTTTCCCATTAAAAATGGTGATTTTCCATAGCTATGTTAGTTTACCAGAGGGTAAGTTCGAACCCTGGTGATGACTTGCGAATTCTGCGATAAATGTGTTCCAAGATCTTCCAAGCAAGATGTCCATGGGTCAAAAAAGCAACTGAACCTTGAATTCTACATCCTAAACATGGTTAGAAGATGTTAGAAGAGATGACACCTTGGGATGGGAAGGTTCACGCATCCTTTTTTTAAACAGTGTTTGCAACTTGATTTGTTGGGTCAAGTCATTATTTTTTTTGCTCAATATCCCCATGTTTGCAGCTTGTTTGCTCAGACCAAGAACATTATATAAATCTCAGGAGATGCTAGATCCATCTCAAGTCCACTTTTTAGGTGCGAAAATCAGCCCATGGCAATGCATGGCCATGGCAATCCCCAAAAACATCCAAAAACCATAAGGTGACCTGTTCACTACCCACCTTCAGGGCGAAACTCCCTCATTTTATCATGGGCCAGGGAGCAACCCTGAGAATCGGAGTAAAATCATGGTAAATTCCCATGACATATTCCATTGTATCACCATTTGATGGTTACTTCAAGTTACTTCCAATGAAATCTTCATCAAAATCAAAGGTTGTTGGTCGGTTTCATACCCTCACAATCCCCAATTGAGCAGTTAGTTGCTGCTAAACTCTTGTGGGTTGAGTATTTCAGAAAGTTATTTATATTACTCAATGTATTGGGGATTATCATACTCCTTTGGGGGAATCCGTTCTTAATCAACCATCATTTACAGTATCAGTTCTATCATGTTCTATCCACTTATATCATCTTATCTCCCCATATTTTGATAGTTGAAACCCTCATTAAACCACAATAAATCATCAACCAACCAGCATTTATCAATTATGAGTAGTTACAATCCCATAAGACCCTTATCTTTGATAACTAACTCCTATTTAAATCCCATTAAAACTGCTGAATCCGCAGCCACTCCCCTGCCGTGGGAGGCGTTTCACGGTGTGACCTTGCCCTTTGGCGGTGCCAAGGGAGCCTCTTTGGCGTTGGTGATGGATATCTTCAGTGGGCTCTTCACAGGGGTGCCGTGGGTGGAACGTTGGAACTTCCGGCTGGAGAAAAACATTTGGGATATCCAGAAAAATACCCTCTGGTTATGTCAAAATAGCTATTGAAAATTGCCATAGAAATAATGGATTTACCCATTAATGGCATGGTGATGTTCCATAGTTATGTTAGTTTACCAGAGGGTATATGCAAAAAAGATGAATCATATGACTATAGAATTACATTGTATTGAAAGGAATAAATAAAATTGGGGTGGGGTAAAAATGAAATGGTGGGGTTACTACAGTATAGTAACATTTAAAGTGGGTTCTAAATAAACGTATTTGTGATAAACAGATAAAACGTATATATATATATTATATTTATTTATACACATATTATAATTGATATACATGTACGTACAAGTATACATATAGTATAAATATACTACGAGATCTGAGTTACACACATGGAGCTGAAAACAAAAGTGCATACTGGGATAAGAATGGATATGTAACATTATATATAGCCCTAATCAACGGTTTCATATTCTATATTCATTAGATGTTTGGCACCATATTTTCAGACAAACCCATTTGTTTGCAGTATCAGGCAGCTTGAGGGTGTATGTAACCTTGGAACCCATAAAATACAGCCTCCCGATTAAAAAAAAACAACATGGTGTGCTGGTAAGTGCTCCATTTAGTTCGATGTGTGTTTCCCAGCTATAAACCGCCATTCACAGGGGGTTTTCCATTCGTTTGATTAGCGGAGGGCATCGAGATTCAACCGAAGAATCAGATGGAAAAAACAGAAGAACGGCAAGGGACTGTAAGTGCTTCGCAACCTCCTAACAGGAAGCCACACCACGCATTGATTTCTGATCACAGTTCCACGTGAAAGATCCGCATTAGAATGTGAGTGGCACTTCCACTTTTCGTTGTGTTTGCCTCCCTCGTGGGGGTTAATGGGGGTTAATGTTTGGCAATCAGCCACCAAATCCTTTGGTTCCCCAGTTCCAGATGAACTGAAAAGATTGTCGTGATCAACTGTCGTGATGTAGATATTTAGATGTAAACTTAATAACTGGTTGGTGGTTTGGAACATGAACTTTATGACTTTCCATATATTTGGAATGTCATCATCCCAACTGACGAACTCATATTTTTCAGAGGGGTAGGTCTTCTACCAGATAAATCATCCTGAAATAGACACGAATACTTGACTTTGCAAAAATTGATACCCATTAATTAAGCTTGGGGCTTTTAAAGAAATCCCATAGTTACCTCTCTTTAAGTCAATATGCCTATATAAAAAGAAATCACATGCTGCTTTATACTTTATAGATCTTTATAGATTTATACATGTGACATGATTTAACTATAGAACATTTCATTTTTTCATACGTAAATCATCATAAATCATCATAAATCCTCTACAAAAAACTGTTTCGACCTGGCCAGGCAGCCTTTGGTGGCCGTGTGCGGTCCTTGTACAACGACGCCCAAGCGGCGCAGGACTGAAAACCAAGGGTTTTTCCTGTAGCTTTCATGGGAACAGCATGGATTGTACCATTTCCTATGGTTTCCTGTAAAATTTAAGATGATTTCCTATGATTTCCTATGGTTTTCCCATGGTTTCCTATGATTTCCTGTGGTTTGAAACCAATTCTAAGATCGGGAAGAGGGAATTCGAGACTGAAAACTTGGTCAGAATCAGAAGAAGAACACACACCTTTTCTTGGGATGCACTGTTTTTCGGATGATTTTGGTTGAAAACTTTGCCCGAGATTCTCGGCATTTTGGTGGATGATTTTCTCGATTTTCTTTTGGTATTGAAACAATTGAGTTGCAAGACATTGGAGAACGAATCAAGGGGGGATCGAACGTGGCTAGCGACTAGTCACTTTGGCCGTTTTCTCAACGGCAGGAAGGCTCCCAACCTTGGAAACTCAGTTAGTTACATGGCTTATGTGGCTCTTGCTTAGTGGGTAGATTGGATGATCAAAAGGCAACAACATGTTTCGGGTGGGTGGACCCGTATGCAAACGACCCACGGTTGCGGCGCTGTGAGGACGTGGGTCACTTCATCTTGTGCATGAGAAGCTCGGACAGAATTTGGAAGTTGTGACTGGAACGATTCACCCTCAAATCTGGTTTGCCAGATGCTCAGGGCTTGTTATGTACGATTTGTGAACTTTCAATGGTTGGATGATGCATAGAAATCATTCAATCGGTGGTTTCTGCCTTTCGCTTAAAAGGATTTGTTGGAGCCTGGTGGTTCCAATTTTGAAACACCCCCACTTGTAGACCCAAAAAGCAGGACAGATGACTCTTGTAGTCAAAAAAACATGAGACTCATTGTTGCCTGCAACATGTGTCCTTGTCATGAACGTGAAGTGAATGTGTGTCACATGAACGCCGCTATCAAGTTCATTTCAGGGTGGGTGGGTGGGAAGTTATATGATGAGAAGTTCGTCTTGACTCCACTCAAAGTGGGGCAATCCTCACTAATGAGTGGTGTGGAGCGTGAGTTGGATGTGGCCTTAAGTTTGGGCAGCATCCACGCTTATCCGAAGCAGCCATGGGAATCGAACATCTTCTTGAGGCAAGTGTTTGGCGATCCGACGCACTTATCGTCTCCTGCTTTGCCCTCCTTGCGTAGCCTTGTTGTGCCTCCTCCTAGCAAACGTGCAAAGATTGAATCATTGCCGGTGTGTCAGAAGAAGATTGTGGTTCGTGATGCTGTGTATGACCAGACACAGCAGCACGCGGACGCAGAGAGAGCTTCTGCACTGATGAAATGGTGTGACATCTTTATGTTAGATCCTGAGGCTACTCCACCGGGAAAAATGCTCTTGCGATGTGCAGGTTCAGGTGAGTCAGCCATGCGAGTCATGGAGGACCTTTTTAGGAAGAAGGCCACTTCGACAATCAAGCAAAGAGTTGGATCCTTGGGACTTTTCCTGGCATGGTTCAAAGTGCAGAAGCCCAGTGACCCCTTCTTCCCCATTGATGAAGAAGCTCTTTACGAATATGCGTGCGACTGCAGGGATCATGGTAAGAGTGCTTCGCGTGTGGAGACTTTGCTGGGGACCTTGAAATATGTTGGAAATGTTTTTCAGTTTCCAGGTGCTCTGGAGGCTGCTGCATCTCCCAGAGTTGAAGGAGCAAGTCACGGCTTGTTCTTGACCAAAGCACCTCGAGCTAGGGCAAAGGAGTTGAGCCCGTCTATGCTATGCTGGCTTGAAGTAGCATGCTTCGCCTTGCCCAGCACTTTCGACCGAGTGGTGGCAGGGCTTTGTATGTTGTGTGCTATGGGCAGAATGAGGGCATCCGACGCTAATAGGCTTCGGCATGCATCCTTGATCGGCCGCTACTATGAAGGTGCCTTGAGCCGGACTAAGACGGCAAAGAGCAAGGAGAAAGCGACATCCTTCTTGCCACTAGGCTGCCCTGCCTTTGGCCTCTTAGGCAGGAACTGGCTGCACGAATTCCTGCTGTCCCGAAGTGAGCTGGGCTTGGATGAAGTACCAAGCTTGGCATCGAGGTCCAATGATGTCGGCTATGTGCTGGTGCCGAGTGCTTCGTCTTTCGAAACAGGTGACAACCTCCCCTTGAAGTCGTCGGAGCTGTCGGACCGCTTGAGGGCTATCTTGGGCCTGGGCTTCAGTCAGCAAGATATAGAGGGAATCAGTAGTCACTCGCTGAAAGCCACTCTTCTTTCCTACATGAATGTCTGGGGAAGTACCTTCGAAGTGAATGAGATTTTAGGCTTCCATGTCAACAAGGAGCATGGTTCAGCCCTAAATTATACCAGAGACGCGTTGAGTCATCCCATCCGGCAGCTGGTGGGCATGTTGGCAGACGTTCATGATGGCCGCTTTGTTCCTGATGCCCCTCGTGATCATGTGTTTCCACAGGCCGATATGATTCTGCCAATGAACCAAGTGTTCGAACAGCATGTTGGGAAATCAGTGCCTGAAGTGGCAAGGATCATGATGGGAGACAGGACGCGCTTCACTGTAGAGGAAGATGCAAAGGCAAATGACAGGCTTGGCAGGATGTTGGTATTAGCAGGCATACCCAGGACAGGGCTGGTGGAGCATCTCAGCTCGACTGAAGAGTATGCCCTGTACCACCCCTCTGTGGGAGTCTGGAACGAAGAAACCCAGGCTGCAAGAAAAGCACAGACCATTGACAGCTCCAGCTCCTCTAGTGAGGAATCGGATAGTGCAAGTGGCTCCTCAAGCGAGGAAGAAGAGCAAAGTCACGCTCTTTTAGCCTCAGTCACTGAGGCTAGTGGTACGAAAGCACCGTCAGGAAGTTGTGACACCATGAGAGCTTTCAGGCATTCAAGAACAAGGATGCTTCATTACGGTCACGTCTTGCACAGTGACAAGACAGGGTGTGGTCGGTTGTTGTCTGAGGCGTATTACGTTTTCTCAGACTCAACTGACCTAGTGTATCCAAAGTGTCAGCATTGCTTTGGGCACTATGTATAGGGCACCAATGTTGTCTCCCAGGAAAAGTTGCATGGCAGCTTGCTCTTGAGCACATTGAGGTAATGTGTTGCGATGTGCAACTAGGTTGAGTGACATCTTCTTTTTTTGAAAACCGATGCAACTCAAATACTCCTGTGGCAGCTGTCGCCCAAAGGCTCTCAAGCGCGCCGGGAAGTCCGGGGAAGAAGTGCGCAGAGAGAAGCAGGACCGTAGTGAACAGGTGAGGGGCAACAAAGCTGTCAAGCAGGTCAAGCCAAGTGAACAGTTTCGCAGACATGTCCACGCAGTCGTAAATTTTTCTTTTGATTTTGTTGTTCTTGGGCATTTAAATGGATGTAGGCCGCTTCAGTGCTTTGAACGAGTGCAGCTTAGTAAGTTGTTTTCTCTGAGTCGTCTTTGACGTGCATGTCTCCTCTCTCCCTTCTCTATCTGACTCCAACTTGTGTTGCAACCTGATGTTGTCATTGCATGAGTGGTTGAGACTCAGATCCCGCAGACATGTCACGGCTTACAGAATGTTGGCTACTTAGGTAAAATGTTGGATTCGGCTGCTGCTTTCAAGGATCGTGCTGCCAGCATCGGAGTGACTGCAGCTGAGCTTGCGAGACTTGAGGTGCCTGGACACCTTTGGGAAGCTGGCATATGGATGCAGCTATGTGCCAGGACAAGCGGACGACCAGCCGCTTCTGACGCTTATAGAGAGAGTGTGTGAAGCTGCGCCACCCCCAGAGGAACGTGTGCCAGTCATTAGACGCCTTTTCTTCGAGAGCTACACATTGGCCAATGCAGACTTGAGGTCGAGAGTAGATCGCAAGGATGATGAGCAACCTCGAAAACTTGCTCAAGCAGAGCGTGCAGCAAGGCACAAGGACCAACAGGTTCGTCTTGCTGGGTTGGAGCTGGTGGGGGAGTTAGAACCCTCACACTCCCTGGTAGATTTGGTATTCCACATGCTGGAAGAAAACCAATTGCGGTACATCAGGTGGGAACAGTGCACAAAACGAGATCAAGAGCTTCTTGGAATTCGACATGACCCTCTGTGGAAACCTGGTGCAGATGGAGTTGTGCGAGAGGTCAGACAGAAGGAAGAAGCCCTTGCAGACACCAGTTCTGACTTGCACCTGAAGTACTGTTTGCAGCGCAGGAGTCTGGCGCTGGATCAGGCTAGGATCATCGACTATGAAAAGATGGAGCGTTGGTCCAGGACTATGCTGGAAGCTTACTCAGCACTTCCAATCGATGGCTACAAGAAGGTCAGTCTGGATCAAATCCAAAGGGCAGATTTGGAACTCTTCAAATTCCTCATGAAGCACAGCAGGGAAGGAATCCGTCCCAGTGGTGGTGTGGCCCCCCTTGAAGCTATCCTGGATCGTGCAATCACTTCAGCGGAAATTCGACTGCGCCTTGCTCCGTTGCCAGCAGGGTCAGGCAGTGGCATCAAGCGAAAGCATGATGACTTGGAACCGGAGACCGCCAACAAAGCCAAGCACTCGCCGGATGACATTGCCAAGTTGAAACGCACCATCGAGAACCTCACTGGGCAAGTTCGCAATTTGAAAAGTCGTGGATCGTCGAAACAGCCACCAACAGGCAAGGGAAACAAAGGCCTGGGTCGTGGAAGCAAAGGCATGATGGGTCGCTCTTACAAGTCTACGGTGAAAATGCCCCCAGAGCTTGTTGGGCAATCTCCCATGACAGATCAGGGAGAGCCTATTTGCTACAGCTACAATTTGGATGGCTGTAACGAGGCGGCCCCTGGACAGCGCTGCCCACGAGGATGGCACATGTGCACTCGTCCTGGATGTCAGGCAGTGCACTCTCAGCGCAATCACAAGTGATCTTCACTTGGCTCCTTTGCGCCATCCGTGAAGGAGCCAGATAGTGTCACCAGGAGCATCTTTGACGGCGCTCCAAAGAATGCTGTTTTCACCATAGAACTTTGCGCAGGTTGCGCGCGTCTTTCTGCCTCTCTTGCAGCCAAAGGTTTTAGAGCAATGGCAGTGGATCAGAAGTCCAACAAGCATAAACAGGCTTATGCCACAGTGGCCTTAGACCTTGCTAGTGAAGAAGCGGTAAAATTTTTGCTGTCACTTCTGAAGCAGCCGGGTCGAGTTTTCTATGTGCATGCTGCGCCTCCATGTGGAACGTGTTCTCGGGCCAGGGAACGTCGTCTCAAGAGAGCAGTGCGTCGCCTTGGAGTGAAGGAGCCTTCCCCTTTGCGGAATGCACAATTCCCACATGGTCTACCCACATTGCAAGGCACTGACTTGAAGCGGGTCACCCTGGCCAACCGCATCTATGCCAACATTGCAACAGTGTTGTCCCAAGCAATCATTGCCGGTGCCTACGTTTCTGTGGAGAACCCTACTCGTTCCTGGATGTGGCAAACGAGTTGGATGAAGCAGCTCATTGAACGATTCAACCTGCGTGCAGTGACTTTCCAACAATGCATGCATGGGGGAAAGCGTGACAAGTGGTCTACGTTTTACACCAACGCGCCCTGGTTGACCTTCTTGGCTATGGAATGTGATGGGCAACACTCTCATCTGCCGTGGGGTGTCACCAAGGATGGCAAAAAGTATAAGTTCAATACTGCAGAAGAAGCGGAGTACCCTCCTGTCTTGTGCGAGCGGATAGCAGCTGCCACCTCAGAGGCAGCCTTGCATGCAGGTGTTCAGGAAGTGGTACCTCTGCCGAAAGCCCCTTCTCGACCAGCCCCTTCAAAGATGGCTGCTGCCGGTCGACAGCCACGTGGAAACCGCCTGCCAGAGGTGATTTCCGAATACAAGAGTACCTTCACCGTGACTTGGCCTTTTGCCAAGCCTCTCAAACTGCCACGGCTGTTATCCTCTGAGGAAGCAGCCTTCTTTGGCGTGCCCGCTCACACCAAAGCCCTCACATGTGAAAAGCGGCAAGGAGCTGATGATGAGGGCCAGAACCCAATGAAGTTGTGTGCGAAGCTCGCCATCCTGAGGACAGAGGCGGAATTCGTGGAAGAGGCACTGAAGTTGAGTCACCCGTTTGACTCTTCGGAAGCGGTGACAGACGACATCAAGATGTACATCTTTGAAGTCCTCACTGAAGGGCCAGCGGCAATGGCAACCAAGCGGCAGAAAGCCTTGGAATACTATGCCAAAAGAGCTGTAGAACTTCAAGAAGAAGAGGAAAAGCTGCACGCCCAGTTGCCGGCAAATAGAAGAGTCTTGGTTGAGGACAAGAGAGTCCTTCTTTTGGCCGAGATGTGCCGTGATGCTGGTGTCCACGATGATGGTTTAGCAGACTTGCAACTGTCGGGAGCCCCCTTGACAGGGATTTCAGGTGCAACAGGCCTTTTCTCTCCTGTTGAACAACAACCTCCTGCCATGGATGACACCCAGCTCATGAAATCCTCGAGATGGAGTAGGAAGATGGTTGCAGCGAAGGATTCAGGTGTAGCAGATGTCAGGCTGGAGGAGGAGGTGTGGAACATCACCATGGACGAGGTGAAAAGAGGATGGCTCCAAGGGACCTTGACAGAGCCCCAAGTGCGAAAAGAACTAGGGCCACTTTATGTGGTGTCACCGAGGTTCGGCTTGAGGCAGTCGGACAAAACTAGACCCATAGATGATATGTCGATCAGCTTGGTGAACTCGAGCTTCTCGGCAAGCTACCTTTTGGAATTGGATGGAGTCGATGGAGTGGCAGTTCTGGCAAGGACATTCGCAGGTGCAGTGGATGACAGTGGTACTGTTCGCTTAGCGCTCAGTGATGGCCAAGTCATAGAAGGCGAGCTTCATCCTTCCCTGAACTTGGATGAGGCCAGGAGAATTCTTGGTCGCACCTTGGACCTGGACTCGGCCTACAAGCAACTGCTTGTGCGTCAGTCATCGCTATGGGCAAGCGTCTTGCAGGTGAGGAATCCAAGTGGTGAGCCTTTTCTCTTCATTTCGCAGGTGCTGCCATTTGGAGCTTCGGCCTCAGTTTACTGCTTCAATAGGTTTTCGAAAGCTTTGCAGATGATTGGTGCTCGCTTATTTTCACTTGCCTGGGTGTGTTATTTCGATGACTTCACGCAGTTTGATTTGGCGGCCATGGGTGACTCTTCGCAAATGACGGCGGAGAAGTTTTTGGATTTGGTGGGCTGGAAATACTCCGTAAAAGAAGCAAAACGAAAGCCTATGTCTCCCATTTTCTCGGTGCTAGGAGTGGATGTGGATCTGAGTGCCAGCAAGTCTGGCTTGGTTTTAGTGCGCAACAAAGAGTCGAGAGTTAACCAGATTCAGCTTGAAATCTCAGAGATTGTAAGCTCCAGAGCCTTCAGCTCCTCTACTGCCTCGTCTTTGCGTGGTCGATTGCAGTTTTCTGAAAGCCAGACTTTTGGGAGAGCTATCAGCTTGTTCATGCGCTCTTGCAACTCCAGAGCCACCGGGGCCAAGCCGGGCTCAAACTTGGATGATGACATGATGAAGGAGCTCCAATGGGCGAAGGGCTTCATAGCAGAAGATTGTCCACGAATCCTGAAAGTTGACCAAAGCAGTGTCAGAGTAGTTATCTTCACAGATGCGTGCCTGGAAGACAACGACAGGACGGCTGGCATTGGCATGGTTGCCATGGTGTGTCGTGATGGCATTCCTACCAAAAAGTTCTTCCTCTCAGAGCGTGTGCCCAAGGAAGTGTTGGAAAAGCTTCAAGTGAACACGCCGAAAGTGATTGCTGGCCTGGAGCTTTTAGCTGCAGTGATGGCAGTTGATATACTCAAAGATTTCTTGGTAGCAAGGCGTGCCTTTCTTTTCATCGACAATGAAGCTGCGAGAGCTAGCCTTATTTCCATGTGGTCACCTATCTTCACTCATGCTCGAATGCTTCAACATCTTTGGGAGTTAGTGAGAAGCAAGTCGATCTTCATGTGGACGTCGCGCGTGCCGTCGCTGTCAAATGTGGCTGACAAACCATCGCGTTTCGAAATTGTACAGCTTGTGGAGGCAGGTTTCATCAGAATGCGACCCAAATGGCTGTAGCCACAAAATTTGTTGTCCCATGTATGCACAAGAGGGGAGTTGCCTGACATGGGTCAATGTTCGATGTGAACTTCATGTTGTGTTGGCAGTGCAAGATGTATGCACTAGCTACCCATGTAGAATCTTCAATCGTGAAGGATGTGTGGCATTCCCAGCTCAAAAAGGACCAGGCACGTTCAGAGGTTGGGCCTGTTTTTGTGCATGCAACTTGATAGTGTCATGTGGTATGGCAAGAGACTCATTGTTGCCTGCAACATGTGTCCTTGTCATGAACGTGAAGTGAATGTGTGTCACATGAACGCCGCTATCAAGTTCATTTCAGGGTGGGTGGGTGGGAAGTTATATGATGAGAAGTTCATCTTGACTCCACTCACCTCACCCACCCACCCTGAGTGGAGTCTGCGCTACAGACATTCGCGATCTCCAATTCGTCCACCTTGCTGGACCAGGAGTGTCAGGGGAGTTGCCTGACATGGGTCAATGTTCGATGTGAACTTCATGTTGTGTTGGCAGTGCAAGATGTATGCACTAGCTACCCATGTAGAATCTTCAATCGTGAAGGATGTGTGGCATTCCCAGCTCAAAAAGGACCAGGCACGTTCAGAGGTTGGGCCTGTTTTTGTGCATGCAACTTGATAGTGTCATGTGGTATGGCAAGGCTGAATCGTTTTTTCCACGTCAAATTTCTCCGGATTCGTCGGCACCCTGTGAAATGTGTTCGAATCTCGATGTGGAGATGGGCGCCTGTGTTACAGGGGGAGATGAAGATCCATCAATCCCTGCTATTTTTATGTTCACCTCAGGGTACAAGAGTGCTGACCCATCCCAATCTTTCAATACAATCCACATCAATCCACTATATATTGGATTGTATTGAACCATGAGGATGGATCAAAATTTACATATCCCTTCTTTTGCTTTCCAATTCCGTGTGACCATTTTATTTTCGTATTCTATGGGTCAAACTGGAGTACTGGAAATGTTTTTTTTTAACCAATACCCACATGCCAAATTTGGAAACATGACAATGCCATTTCTATATTATAGATATATGATATAATGATATATGATATATCTGTAGACACATCAATTGATTCTTATAGACTTATAGTCTATTAATGTTCATCATTGTTCATCTGTCCAAGGTCCAAGGTTTCACCTTGCGACTCACCTGGCGACGGGTCAAGCTGGACAAGCTTGGTATCAAACAATATAGATTTGGTTGGTTAGATCATGTTAGATCCATTTGGATATATTTAGGTCATTTTAGATCCATATTTTTTCAATGGACATTTAATTTCAGGAACCCATGACGGATCCATGGTGCTGCTATATATGGTAACATGGATCCCATCAATATACCCCCAATGTTAGTATATATACCATACATGGATCCTATGGGGAACCGATTCATTGGAGGTACCGATTCCATATATTTTTGGCCTATTTTTGAGGCCTACGTAAGGGGATATACCCCCAAAATATGGCCAAACATATGGTACTAACGTACCTCCATTTTAGGATCCTGGAATTCCCACTTATTTTTGTTGCTGAAAGTCCCCTTTCTGTTTCTTCGATCCCCATGATGCCATGGCGGGCCTGGTTTGAGGACCAAATCTGTTTCTGCCTTCAACCCAAACCTTCAAGGCCATCCGCTTGAGTCGGACTCGGAGACGGAAATCATGGTAACATTACGCAAGATGGATACACTCCCTAGATCGCTCTAGTGAGTTTACAATTCAGCTTATGGGATGCAAAATTCCATGATGTGAACGTATAACCGGCTGTCAGAGTAGATACATGAGATGTGATATACATCCATGATCATCCATCTGTTGAAAGCAGCGGGCCAAGTATTTATTCAGAATTTGGGTCCCAAATGACTACCACATAAAATAGCGTCCTTTTGAAAAATGGCAAGTCATAGAATGGGCCAGCCATTCTGGGTGCCCGGTGCAGCAACCGGTGCAGCAACGACGCCTCCTTTCGCTTTCGGTGCAGGATCGGATGGATGAGCTCGTCTCCATACTCAAGCGACAGCCCTGTGCGGAGGTGCGAGCCCGGGATGTTGGCGAATACACAAATATCGACCCATCAGGGACCCATCAACAGCCTATTTTCAGACACAGTTTTGTTACAATGTGAGGCCCCCCAGTGATGTTAGTTGGTTTATTAAAAGCCCCAGTAACCATAGTTTTTTGCATACCATAAACCATAGTTATTGGAGTTATAAACCAACTTAGCTATCTTGGGGGCCGCAGATTGTACGATATGTTGTTGGATATTTCTATGGGATACCACACCAACCCAATTTTTGGTGCTGCAATGTACACACTTGCTGAATCTAGCTGCGCAAGCTGGGATCTGTTTTTTTTTTTGTGTGTGTGTGTGTGTTGCCCTTATTTTCCTTGGATCAATCTCAACTGCCCTATTTGAGATGCTGCTCCCATTGACTATATTGACTTTCACAACATCATCAGGGGGATGCAAACCACCTATACATCAGTCAGGTTTCTTGATGTTTACAACATTTTCCAACCATGGACCATGTTTATCAGCTGTCCTGTTTTGTTTATATGTTGACCATCCTATATATATATACCTAGACCTTCCAAAGTTCAATAATTTCTGTACTTTTGGGCTTTTGGCCACAAATGACCGCAAAAAACCGCAAATGCCGCAAATAGTTCAAATTGGACCAATCGTTCAGAAACACACTAGAACAACATGAAATTGCAAGAATGAAGCTGACTTGACGTATCTTGGCATGCTAGATGGGAGTTTCTGCATGTTGACAAACAAAGTGGACCTGCTTAGCAGACGGAAAGAAAAACAAATCTACCGGTTGGTGAAGATTGGTGAAGAATATGACAAAACAACTAAGTTGCTCAAAGAAGGCTTTGGTGCCACGCTAAAAGCAATCTTTGTTGGATGGGAGACACCAGACCGCTATAGACATTGAATTTGTAAAAAACAGAACGCCCATGTTTTTTTTGAAGAAATGTCTGCAGGAAGTTCCAAAACTGTTCTGAGGGAATTATCACCAGCAATTCGAATCGGTGCATTATGAGGGACCCATTGCGGCAAGATATTTTAACCACCGGTGCCATATCTAAGGTGGCAGTCAGAACTGCTGTAAAGAGTTCACTTTTTGTTGAAACCGTTTACATTTAAGATTAAACGTTTCAACCGGCCCAAAAGTGCAGAAATCCCAATCGTACAGAATTTTCTGTACTTTGGAAGGTCCAGGTATATATATTTTACAACATTTTGTATCCATCTTCCCGTGATTTTTCTGGCTTACCGGGTAATACCGGGTAGCGCCGGCATGGTCCCTTGAAGCATTCCGGATGTTTCACCGCCCCGCAGGGCTTCGATGAGATCCTGATGCCGGGGGAACGCGAAAGCCGAGAAGAGGAGCGAAGAAAAGTGGACGGGGTGCCATTGCAGGAGGATGTAGTGCCTCGGCCTCCAATCCTCCAATCCTCCAAGTGATGGCCCATTTAGTTTGATTTGATGGCAATAAACATTCCCCCATTGTTTCCCCGATATCATGTGTTTCTAGGGGGTGAATGCCCCATGTCCTAATTAAGCTCAATGAACATGAGGATAGAAAATTCGACAAAACATATTTGGTAAACCCAAAAATGCGCATAGTCCATAAAAGTTCTTGTAGTTGCATTTTGAAATGCAAACATGAACCATAAAATGGGGACAAGACCAAGTAATGCTGTAAACTCAATTCCATAAAAATCCAGCTAGGATCATTAGGGCCGGTATGGTTGTCCAGTCTTCCCCAATGATAAATTTGGATAAACGGGGGAGTTTGTTGCATTGCAGTTGGTGATACGCCCGGGTTTTGCTGAGAATTTAGCGCAATTTCGCCCCTTCCAAGGCCGGTTTTGTCAATTCCTGGTTGAATGATACTTAAATCACCATGGTTTGTTGATACCCAACATTGCCCTCCTGAAATCTAAGATGGAAGCCTGAAGTTTGTTCTTACTGGAAGTGGCCGCGTTTGATATGAATACGTTCTGGGTTTTGATGCAAGATTTAAAGGGTTTAAACATATATGATTGTTTGCTTCGTTGAATCTATCCACCTTTTGTTGCGCCATGTTGCGCCAACAAAGAAATCCAAACATTGCAAAAGTCTTTTGGAGACTGTAGAGTGATTGGATTGGTTTAAGGGAAATTTTACAGGAAACCATAGATTTTCCCATTAAATATGGGGCTTTCCTGTAAATTTTCCCTTAAACCATTCCATTGATAGAGGGTTTTATCAGATTCTGCATTTTTTTTTTTGCTCAAGATATGCTACACATACCTACTATGGGGTGCGTCCCAAGGTGGCCTCGCTCGAAGAGGAAGCCCAAAAGACGGGTGGTTGGCCGAGTTTTAAACTCGGGATTTGGGGAGGTTTGGCAAACTTGAGGTTTAAGTACTCAAAATGGAACTTAAGACAAGAACATCTGCCGCTAGACTGGAGTTTTAACATGTTTTAACCAAGAAAAATGATCAAACATTGACCTTCAATCAGCCATCATGGTGATTTTTCCCAGCCAAAATCCTGACATTTCAGCAGTGAAACTGCTATGTCAGCAGTGAAACTGATGCGGTTTCAGCAGAGGCCTTTCTGCCCATGGGATGACAGATATTGATGAATTCAACTAGTCTCCCCCTTTTTTCTGAGATCACAAGATTCTTGGGTTACCCTCTGGTGAACTAACATAGCAATGGAAAATTACCATTTTTCATGGGAAAAGTCACTATAAATGGCCATTTTCCATTGCTATGTTAGTTCACCAGAGGGTACATAGCTGTGTTGCTGATGCTTTTCCATCCGGCGACGAAACAGACTTGGACCTAAGCACTTTGAAAATCTTTGAAATAGAACTGCGCACAGGCCCTACAATTTAACATAGATCCTGAACATGTCCATATCCAATAAACAATGATCTTCCATCTTTCAAATCCAATTTCTTGTGTTGCACTTTGAATATAGGTATAGGGGGTGTTACTTGACTGACTGTGACCAACCATGTCACCCACCATGCTGCATACCTAGGCCTCACATTCCCTGAACCGCTGGACTGAGCCAACGGTGACAGATCGATTTAATATCATTTAATAGCAATTTATGTTTAGCAACCAACAGAAAGTGGGGATTTCACCAAGAATAATGCTGATTTAAGCGACGCGTATGTAGTAAGAAGCGGGCTAGAAACTGGGTAAACTGATTGGAGAGTGAGTGACTAAGAAAATAAAAGAGTATGTGACTAACCATCATGGCTACAGTATCGGATAATGGGAACTGGTCAACAAACAATCGGAGTGAACCAGAAGAAATGCAGATTGACCAACAAACATGTGGGTTTGACCAAAGAAAATCAGAAGTTAAACAACGCAACCAGTGCATCCAGATTTTGACAATTTCCTGGAATTCATGGATCAATCGTGGTTCTTGCCACATCGCTCACAACTGCTGGATGATCCCTCATGTTACTAAATGAATAGAAACTGACTGCAGCTACATTAAGAAATGCAAATAAATGTAAATAAGACAAATGTACGTGTATATATATATTAATATACATATATATATATATATACATTAATATACATATATATATAATAATACTCTCTCTATATGTATATATATATATATATACACACATGTCCTTCAACTCACAGTACAAACAACCAACTTGCTAAGATCTAAGCAGTATTAACCCCTGCGTCCCATCTAATGAAGTACTGTTGGGTTTCTCCCCACGATTTGTTGGTTGCCATTAGTGCAAAGTTGGCAGGGCTTGCAGTAGGATTTTTGACCCGCCTTTAGAATCAAAAGGACGCCTTGGCCACTGCATGTTGTGACGTTGTGAAAAGTGAATGATTGGTCGACAAAACAAGGATTTTGGAATTTGTTTTTTGTCTATTGAAAATAGTTTCCTCTTGAGTGCCATGGTGGTTTCAGGAAGGTACCAACAAGAAGATCAGGTCTTCCATTGCTAGAAAGGATTGTTTTTTTCCGCGACTTCTTTCCTAAAGTCAGCATAGCCCCTGGCATGTAATTTTTAAGTTCGTAGATGCCTGGTGACGTGTGTTGTGTCAACGGTTGTATTGCCAAACTTAGCGATCGTGAGTCAATGCAAATGCTACTGTAGATCATTGCAATGTTTTCTTCATCTCCACTTTTTGACATGTTTTGAAGACACTGAATACATCTGAATACCACTGGGACTAGGCAGGGAACTTCTGGAACTTCGCTATACTGGGCTGATACTTTGGTGCTCATCACCCCAAAAACATGACTGGATATTCCAGATGTATGGGATGCTGCTTCATCCCGTGGTCGTCCAGCAGCCGATCAAAAGGGCGACTGATCCGTGCCGTAGCCGTGTGGGGGACAGCAGCGCCGCGGTTTTTAATTTTAGCCATGACGAGGTCAAGCCTTGGAAAGTGCCCCTCGGATCAAAAACGCACCATTTCTGGCGAGTTTGGTTCACTGAATTTCTGAAGACATGGAGAAATATTGGAAATATACATATATGTATATGTATATATATGATCCCGTCTTCCGCCCGCGAGGTCCCCCCCCCCTCCCCCCCCGAATGGGATGGGTCCCAGGTAGCACCCCCACTTACCTTCTATTTGCAAGCTATTGGCAGCATTTCTGAAGTCCAGCCTCGTATTTGCCAGGTTTTTGCAGCGATTCTGACTACCAGCCTCCCATTTACTAGGTACATTCTACCCTTTCGACGACCTGCGTAGCACACATACTCCCTCAAAGTACCTACGTGCTATCTATAGTTATATATACATGTGCTATGTATCTACTTCCTATATATATATATATTTACATGTTATAGATACATACATATGTATATATTTATATATATATTATATATATATATATATTCAATATATATATTATATATATATATTCATATTTGTATTTAGATAATTAATTAATTAAATAAATAAATATAATAAACATATATGTATACATGTCTATACATAAATATACATATATATATATATACATATTCACACACACATATATATATATATATATATACACAAGCATATATAAAATTATATATATATATATACGCAGTACCACACCCCCACCACACCACAGGGGGGGCGGGGAACATAGCTCCTGTATATCCATACCCGTCCCTACTACTAACTACTACTAACCCCCCCCACCCCCCTACCCACCCACAGGGGGGCGGGGAACATAGCTCCTGTATATCCATACCCATTCCTACTACTAACTGCTACTCACTACTACTAACCCCCCCACCCCCTACCCACCCACAGGGGGGGGGCGGGGAACATAGCTCCTGTATACCCATACCCATTGGGGGGGAAGTGGGGGGGACCTGAAAGGCTGCATCATATATATATATGGAAATATGTGCTAGCAATTAGTAGGAAATCTAATTTCCTCCGTGCTAAGAAAAGATGAGTGTTGAAGCATTAGATTACTCCTAAACTGACACGTGACTTGTTGTGACTGGTCGGTTTTCATTGGTCATTTGGCCAGTTCGAGTCATCCAATGATGACCCATGATGAGCCATGCACCGATGCCATCAAACTGTTGTAGATGTAGGTCATACGTGCTCCTCATGTTCATCTATCTATTGTTTTTTTTTGAATCAATGGATCGGTTTAAGCTGGTTTACCTGAAAATAAGCAGAAACCATGTTTGCTTTTGTCCCATTTTTCTACCGGGGGACTGTAAATCTTTCATTGGCACAACTTCTTAGGTCAAGGACTGTTGGCCATTGCAGTCGCTGCTTGGCTTGTCGCTAGCAACTTGGCTGACGTGGTGATCGTAGGTTTTGTGGTGTGAAAACCAAGAAAAGGGATTGGCTAAATGGATAGAAGCCACTGATCGTAAACGTGTTAGATAGTGCATGCAGCTGTTTGCACTTGCCAATCAAGTACGAACTTCAAAATTCATCTTTGCGCTCTTATGACCCAAAACAAGCAGCACATAAGGATGTTTTTTTCTGGGATGTCAGTTCGACAATCCTAAATTAAATCTTGGGGACATTCTTGTATGTCAGTTCTTCACATCTCCCAAATACAATTTTGTACAGTTATGGCCATGTATTAGTTATAACTGGTTATTTCTATGGGGTTAGTTCAGTACTTATAACTGGTAAAGGGCCAAAACTGTAGTAGCTCCAATGCGCACGAAACGGCGAGGTCCCGGTCGCATCCAGCATCTCTAAACATCTCTAGACATCTCTAGTCATCTCTAGACTCTTCAGGCAATTTTTGTCTCAATTTTCCATATCCATAATTCCACCATATATTCCATCCCCATGTTTCACAATGTAGGAATTATTCCTATGTGTGTTGGATTCAAAGAATTCAGGTTGACGTCAGGTGGATCAGTTTCAATCACCATGTGTGTTCGGCGTGGCGTCCCCCTCGGCGCGGGTGAAATCCTTATGTTTGACACTTCTTCTGCTTGATACAATGGTAAATGCTAGAAACAGAGCCCAACTTTTTTGTCTCATGCGGAAACCCAAAATCACATGATGTTTGTCACATATTTTTGCCATTCAAATGTATTTGAGAGGTATCAGGTACAGTATCTCCCTATAATTCTCAGACACACAGTCATGGCCATTGATCCGGATCATGTAGGACGATTTTATAGTGTATATGGTCTACCGCTTGCTATTGCAAATTGCAGGAGATATCCCACTGTAGATCATCATATCAAGTATTATCCCAGTATCATTACATCATGTGTTTCTGCAGGCAGCTTGAGGGAGACTTTTGCCTTGGGGCAGTCCAGAACTGTCCGCGAGCCAACCTTGTCCGCGAGGCCTTGCGCGGTTTTGTGCCGGAAGTGGGGCTCCAAACTATCATTAAATGGGGGTTTCCATAAATGGGGTACCCAAAATGGATGGTTTATATGGGAAAATCCTACTAACATGGATGATTTGGGGGTACCCCTATTTTAGGAAGCCCCCTTATTACCCTTATAACTTATAGTTATGATAGCCAGTGCTTTTGGGGGAATTGTCAAGCTTGCCCGTGTACTTTTTTACTTCCCCGTTGATATGTTTGCACTTAAAGTATCTCATACTTATGTACGCACCTGAAGACTGTGTGGATACGTTTGGAAGATGACTTTTCTTTTGCTAATGGCAACTTCGGGAAGACAATGGAGCACGTATTGGCTGAGAGACCATTACTAGCGCAAACAAGTACGAGGACATTATCCAGCAATTCTTAATTGATGCTTGTTGCAATGCCATGAATAGGAATGGTAAACATACAACAAATTTCTTGTCTTTCTAGAGACTCGTTATGGATGTTTGATGGTTTTAACTGTAGCACATTACTATATGATACTATATGTACATTACTAGTACTTCACTATTCATTCATTGATTCACTGATTAAGTCGGGTATTTGCAGATCAATTTAGCTGGCTGATAAATTACTTCCCTCGAAATTCCATTACTTTGCATACCATCAAAGTAGACAGACTTTGTGAGCAAACTTGGTGCAGTTCTGGTTTCCGTAGTGGATTCTCGTGCCATTTGCAAACAATAACATCTGGTTGGTTACTCGATTCTAGCGAATGGAATGAATCGGACTTATGTGAATCGACTTTTGAATCGCTGAATCGCAAAATTCGCATTCAAAAACTGGCGGTCAGTAGTAGTTGATACTTCATTTGATAAACTAACATAGCTATGGAAAGATCCACCATCTTTAATAGGTAAATCAACTATTTCTATGGGCCATTTTCAATAGCTATTTTGACATAACCAGAGGGTATGGATCATCCCAGTGAATCCAAGTCAGATACCCGTAGATACCCGGCCTGGTTTTTACGTTGGATAAAGCTATTGTTAAAATAACCATAGAAATAGTGGATAAACAGCCATTAAACATGGTGGATCTTTCCATAGTTACGTTAGTTTACATATAGAAATAGTGGATTTACCCATTAATAGCATGGTGGATCTTTCCAGTTCGTTTTTTGTATGTTTACCTATGACGTGTTTCTCCCATCTATTCCTGTCGACCATGAAAATCACTGGCTACCCAAATCCATCGAATCCATCCTGGGGATTCCTGTATCTGTTCCAGGCGTATCTCCGTCACGGGGGAGCACAAGGAGATCATCCGAGACTCGGAAGAGTGGAAGGAATCCTCCATGAACAAGTGGCTCAGCGCAGAATTTTTGAATGGAATGGTGAACAGTCTGGAAAATCTTAAGAATGGAAACGAAACATGAGTTTTTCACCATCAACTATAGGGGTTTCCTGTAAAATTTCCCATCATCCGATTCTATGACTTTTGGGTCTGAGCATATGGCATGAAGTATCAACAAAAATCGGGATTTCATGAGAAATTGAGATGTATATAAAGCAACGAGAATAGGAACATATCATAAAATATCTGTCTATAGGAGTGGGCATTTAAATTTACCCCTTTTTTTTATTACCGTAACCTCAGTTATGGCCATGCAACAGAGAAACTTGATGATTCATCAAATTTTGGAATACCATGGGATACCGATTTTTCGACAAACCACATTTTTTCAATCTGGCACAGCTAGCACTGGTCAGAATTAGTGCAAGTAACCAGGTGAAAAGTTCGTTGAAATATTCTGAATATCGAATTCAGGTACTTAAAGTGGATGACGCCTCAGAAATTGGGATTCAGTCATAAATCGGATGCAAGCACATGTGTTCAACAAAGGGGCCAGCTCAGCTGACCATTTCATAGAATTTCCACAAATTTCCGATCTGAAGTGAAACCAGCGGCTATTACAGTTTTTTTTTTTTCCCTGGTGATTTTTTTCCTGGTGAGTTGTTGTGGCCTGCTGTGCTCGATGGTTTGCGCCAATTACAGTATATAAAAGGACGCCGCTGGTCAAAGGCCACATGGACCCCCAGATTCTGGAATCAACAGTGGCTAGCTATGTTGGAGCGGTGGGAATCACCGCTCAAAGGTGGTGGTTGCAAAATCGCAAGTCAGTTGTAAATGTGTAGCGATTCCAATGCGATCAGCACATCACCAACAACCTCTGGCCGAAATAGAAATCGCGCATATCATCAGCAAACATTCCGAGCATAATGGAGCCATAGAGAAAGAATGGATTTCGCTGAAGTCAGTTTCTTTGGTCAAAAAGATGGCCTGGGAATCTCAACGAAAACGAGTACCTTTTTTTCAAATCCAGCAGCAAAAGAATCCAGGAAACATCCACTCAAGTGCTTGCTATACACCATCTCACCGGAGCTGAAGTGATCCTTTTCCTGTAAATCAAGGGGTATTAAAGCATGATATGAATGGATTTCTGAAAGGTAATTAACAATAATTAACATACTCTTGGGCAACTTAAGCTGCCGATCGAAAAAAAACAAAAACTTGTTTACACACCATTTTACATACATTTACAGATGATCAGATGCATGTCTTTCTGCTGTACAAGATGCAGATTTTCCATTTCCATTTCTCAAAACTTCACTTTTGTGCCAGGAGATTTTCGGGCACTTTTGTATGGTACGTATGAGTTTGTGAGGAATTTTCAGAATTTTCCACTGCCATGCTGGATTCAAATGAGTTTCACGGATTTTGAATGTTTCTATACTGCAGGATAGTAAGATCCAGTAAGATCCGTTGGTTCAAAATAGGCAAAATCTATCAACATCCATTGGAACAATTCCCAAACAGGACACGCATGGATTCCCAATGGATAAAACCACATCATCTTGACTTGTTAGTGGACATGCAGTCGCTAGAGGTGGTGGTGGCAGAAGGAAGGCTACTTGACTCCCCGTGGATACCGTGCCAACCCCAATTGGTCACTTGGATCAAGGAGCTGCCAATGGTGGGACTATGGTAGAAGTATGGAAAATGCCATGAAAACATGTGTTTTTCCGGGTTCCAGCCGCCATCAGGGTCGCCAAAAGTGACTCCAATCTATGAAATTGCATGAAGTTGAACCCAAACACCCCGGATGGTTCAGAGATGTACAGACTCAAAGGCTGAAGAGGGAATGTTTGTTGTGACTTGTGCCCAGGAACATGGAAGACTACAAGCGAGCTTGCAACGAGGTCGACTTGGCAGGGGCCATCTGCGTTTCTCTGGGGTCCCCAGTTGATAGCCCTCTACAGAAGATACATAAAGATACTATAGGAATCTCACTCACAGTTTCTCCCTAGTTCTGCCTATTTAATTCTGCAAAGCTCCTTTTTTATCAGAGCCACATGCTTGTGGCGGACTGCTCGCTCATCTTGCTGCAAAACAACAATTACTGAGCTACCAGCTTGATCGTTGTTTCTCACATACGAAGGTTGAATCCCCTAGCAGGATGTTCAGGAGCAGACTGCTCTTTTGCTAATGACGATCCGCAAGTGACGCATATTCGAGTTTGATGCCAACTAATTGGGGATTTCAACATGCACGGAGCAGAGTGTCAGACGTACATTCCAGATGATTTCAGATACATTTTCGGCCTTGTTTGGTAGAATTTGGTAGAATCCAAGTCAAATGATAGGTTCAGGGAAACGGTAAGACAATCATCCCTCTTCTCGTACGAATTATGAACCAGCATTGCATCATTGCAAATCCCTATTTCGGAAGGGTGAACTGCTCGATCTCAGCAGTTCACTTCGAAGCATATTCGGTGCCCAACTACCCTCTGGTAGTTTAACATAGCTATTGACAATGATCATTTATAGTGGATTTTCCCGTTAAAAATGGTGATTTTCCATCGCTATGTTAGTTTACCAGAGGGTATCCCAATTATCCATTGATTATCTCCATTTTTCTGTTGATTCAATCATTCAATCCACACCTTGGGTTCGTCACATGGCCATTCTTGCCTGTAGCCCCTTTTTTGAGCCTATTGGATGAGTCTCACCATGTCTCACCCCCATGGAGTTGGCTCTAAAATCTGAACTCCAACATGGAATGCAGTTTTAGGATGTTTTAGGGTTTTAGGGGTCACTTTATTAATATTCGAATTTCCATCTGTGCTCTATTCTGTTGTATGGGATTTCAGTGAGGGATACACCTAATGGTTTCATCATGTTTCATCACCATGGCTGTTGGATACATCATCTATCCTCTATCAGAATTCACGTTGTCTACAAACTGGGGAAATGATTGGGTAGTAATAGAGTATTTAAAGGCAAATAAAGCCAATACAGAGTAACCCCCCATTTGTTGGAAGGTTTATTGAACCTGATTCCAATAAAATCAGGGATGGGTTTCGTTTTCGGGTACACCCTTTGTGACTTATCCATTATAAATGCTTGCGGTTTATTCCTCCAGTGTCACTGGGTTTATCAAATTACAAGCCCATTATATAAGTATCATTAAGATTCGTTAAGTATATGTGCTCTATAACGAATCTGAATGATACTTGTATAAGAAGATAGAATCTTAACACATTATATATATATACTTAGTATATTGCTAAAACATAGAGCACGTATAATCAATTGGCAATATAATATGTGCTCTATGTTTTCTGGCCCAAACGGATTGACTTGCAGAGATTGGGCCGGCTGACGTCCTGGACGTTTTTCTCTGTGATCTATTCCCCCAGCAATCTGCAATCCCCGTAAATCCTCCATTTTTTTTTTGGTTCTCTCCGGTAATCAATCATGGCAATTGAACATCTCCAGTTTATAGATCTGGGTAAATTATGTTGCGACCTCACTGTTCTCCCTCACTGGAATCATGGTTTTCATAAGGGAAATCATCCCAAATGGCCTCAATTCAGGTTGGTGAATTATTGTAATTTACCCAGATAGATGATCCCAGCTAATCATACAAAATATTATATTTCCCTGTCATGTTGGACCAGGGCAACGTTAACCCCATGGTTCACCAGGCCAGATATGGTGCCATCGAGCGAGTGCTCATCAATGACGGGTGGGTTTTTTGAACGGTCATGGCAACCTCTCATGGTCAACTACTAGGGGGCTCATCCTTTACTTTCGTGGGTAATACGCATTGAAAACAACCCAGGCGGATATGACATATATTGAATCTTCTTGAAGCATCCCCATTTCTCCATGGGTTATTTTTTTTGTTTGGGCGGAGTCACTGACCAACTGCATATCCCTGCAAGGGGACTCCTCTGGGCTGCAATTCCATTGGGTGTCCATGGCCGCTGGCCTTACATTCCAGTTTGAAGTGCTTATCCTGTTCCCCTAATATTAGATATACCCTCTGGTTATGACTAACATAGCCATGGTATAGATGGCCCATAGAAATCGATGGTTTACCTATTAAAAATGGGTGGATCTTTCCAGTTCGCTAACTGTTAGCCATAACCAGATGGTACCCTGTATGGAACCCATTTTTCTGGATTGATCCAACACAACAAAAACCAGGGTTTCTGCTGTGGGGTCTTAATATTTGGATATGCAGAAGGGGGAAGGGATCACTCATGGTTGGGACCAACTACATCCAACGTTGGTTGGAGTTTGTAGTTGGAATTTGTAATTGGTTTTACTCATGGGGAAGTTGGGACCTACTGTTGGAATTTGGGATATGCTCACATTTACAAGCCCAACTACATCCCCAAATTCCAACAGTACCAGCAACGAGTCAAGTCACATGTGATAGGGAATCATCCAGTGAAAATGAATTGGACCAAATCCTCAGCAAAAAACAGAGGTTGTGTCTACCGCTTTCGTTTGTTTCATTTTGGGGGACTGATTCTTGAGTCAGACCCATTTGGCAACAGGAGAAGGCCACAATCATCACCATTATAATATATAACTGGTTGGTGGTTTGGAACATGTTTTATTTTTCCATATATTGGGAATAATCATCCCAACTGACTAATATTTTTCAGAGGGGTTGAAACCACCAGCCAGCCATTGTTACGGTGTGTCCAGATTCACCCAGATTCGGGTATGTTTTTGAGTCGGGGAAGCCATGCTTTGGGGCATCCCCTGGGTTTTGAAACCTCAATGAATCCTGCGTCGCAGGACGGGTCCCCACAGTTATATGTTTGTTGCTTATGTTGCCGGGAGTATAGAAGTATATCATGACATATCATGACATATCCCCTATGAATCCAATTGTTGGCCTAGTCATAAACCAACAGCGTTTGGGGCAACCGCCTTGCTGATCATCTGCAATCAGTCACCTCTCATGGGATGTCGGTCCTGAGACTGTTCAGACCTCACATCCCGTCACGGGACTGATGATTTGCGGAATCATCCCCCAAACTGCACGACCTTTTCAGGTTGGTGAATTGTTTTATCATTCTACACCGGTAATTCAGATAGATTCGCCAAAACTTCGTTCTTTTCCAACGTTTTCCAACGTTAGCGCAGGAGTTGAAAGCAAAGGGCATGACAATCGAAGAGATCCGACAGAAGGCACGTGGACTCCGTGGACGCCTCGAAGGAAATGATCTGGTGGCTTTTTCAGAAGCTTCCACATCTTAGTTTGCCGGAGAAAACATACCCTTGGCATAGATGGCATAGATGTGGAAGGTTGCCCAAATAGCATCTATGTATATCTAAGCTACTACAGTAGTATGTTATTTCTTGTTGCTGTGGAAACAGTAGTACCTTGCCACAGCTGCTGCCAGTTGGACACTTAGACAGGCCAGTGTCTACGAATTCGTAGAGGGCGTGGGCCAGCCCAAGTTGACCAAGAAGATGCAGTCGCTCAGATGACTGAAGAGCTTACCCCTCTGGTAACACCAAGGTAGCGATGGAAAGTCACCATTTTAATGGGTCAATCAGATATAAATCATCTATTTCTATGGGCCATTTTCCATAGCTGCTCGTATGTTGAATAACCCGAGGTTAATTAGCTTCCAAACGCTCAATGGCTGAAAATGAGGTAAACACCCCAAGGTGTAGGGTACCCAATTTTCAGACAAACCCAATTCGGGCATTTTCTCTGTCATACATGTGAGTTCCACGGGATTTGAACTTGGGTCACTGTCCCTGACCCATGACAGTAGATATTGACGGTCAACGTGGATCAATGTGGTACCAAGAGAGGTGAGTAGGACTGCAACATTGCCAGGATAACCTCATGGGTCAAAAGTCAAACGTCTATTTTTGTGGCTATGGATTCCCAGCAAAGCTGGGCCCAGGTGATGTTAGTTGGTTTATAGTTGGTTTATAAAGCCCGTGAATACTATAATAAGATACTACAATTATAAGATATTAATACATGTTGATACTATAATAATTATGAATGGCATTTTTGGGAAAGCATTTTTTCGCATATACTGTATATACTGTATATACGTGTATATTATATATATGGCTGTGTCTTTTTTTGACGCGTGCAGTTTTTAGTAAAGGCAGGAAGTTCGATTTGTGCGAATCATACCCCCGAATCACACCCCGAACCATACCCCGAATCACACCCCCGAATCATACCCCCAAAAATCACGATTATGAATGTTTCTTTTGGGATCGTTTGGGATTGCATTGGCCTCACTACAGTAGTTTTAATTGACCTGACAAGCTAATTGACCAGTGTTGGCCAGACCCGATGATCCCTGGCTACCTTCACATACCTTCACGGAGTGGCGAATCTTCTCCACGCGCACAGAGTCTCATCATTATCCCTAAGCTGGCTGGCTCTGGGTGACTGGCTGGCTGGCTAGGTGGCTGGCTCAGTTGCTGCTGCTGGTTGGGTGGCTGGCTGCGTGGCTGGCTGCTTGCTGTGTTGCCAATGAGGCTGATGAGGGGGATGACTCCGGCTGTGGCTGGCTGGCTGGCTGGCAACCAAACCAAAAATCCGTACATGAGAAGAACATCCAGAAGAGACGCCGGCAGGCCGGCGGATATAAATCATAGATGTGCATTTAGATCTTCACATTCTTCATATTCAGATCCTGTCCAAGGTCGTCTGGCAGGTCGAGTCATTGCAGCCATTAAGTAGCAATCGTAGTAGGTTGACGGTGGGAAAAGAGACTCAAGCAACAAAGCTTCCCGAATTCAAAAAAAAACGGGTTTCCGAATCATACCCCGAATCATGCCCGAATCATACCCGAATCATACCTCAAACTTCCCAATTCTGAACCTTGGTACATTTGCAAGATCAGAACTTGTGTTTTGTGAGATCTTTTCTTTGCAACCATTCGCCACGGGCTACACTACGCCTCCTGCTGCTTCTGAGCAAAATCCGACAACAGCACCTTGCAGCGTGCAGCAGCACCCTTCACTAGCACCCTTGCAGCACGAGTTGGGTACAGTACGTACCCTCCTTGCAGCACCCTGAAGCATCACCCCTTGCAGCAGCACCAGCAGGCTAGCTCGACAACACCCTCAAGCAGCACCCTCCACCCGCATCCGCTCACCAGCATGCCCGCTCCAAAGCAGGGTTTACAGCACACACCACTCTGACAGCAGCACCTTCAAAAATCACCCTCAGTCAGCACCTGCAGCAGCAACCTGAGCGCCACCAGCATCGCTCCAAACTGTACACACCACTCTGACAGCAAGCAACACCCTGCCACCAGCACCTTGCAGCGGCATTCCAACGGTATCACGATGCCCGCTCCAAAGCGCACACACCACTCTGACAGCAGCACGCACAGCGTCAACATGCCAGCTCCAAAGCGCTCCACGCATGGTATACTTGCCAACAGTTGAAACATTTTCGGGGTAAGTGCGGGTACATAGCCATATGCGGAAAATGCAGGGAAACACTAAATCAAGGTCCGCGAATCATACCCACGAATCATACCCACGAATCATACCCCGAATCATACCCACGAATCATACCCCCTAGTCAAACTTCCCGGGTTGGACACGGTATTTTGAGACATACCCATATACATACATGGGTGTTTCCATAAACGTAGCTATCCCCAAATGGATGGTTTAGAATGGAACATCCTATTAAAATGGATGATTTAGGGGTACCCCCATTTATGGAAGCCACCATATATATATATATATATATATATATGTATACATACAGTGTGTGGCATAAAATGAGTGAGCAAGGCGGCGACAATCGATTTGTACTCTCAAGTCTTTAAAACTTGTCGTGTTCAGAAACTGGGATCGTCGGGTAGGTTTTTTTTTTCGTTCTCTCGGAAATAGATGGATAGTCCTACAGCATGCTCCGGGGGGAATTTACGATCACTTTATGTATTAATTCTCAAGCAGTATTCAATCCACGATGCTCAACTGATAAAGTGGCTAGGTCCGAAACAAGCCTAACTATAGATATATCTACCATAAACCATAGTTATTGAAGTTATGTGCACCAACTTAGCTAACGATAGGGCACCACATTACAGGTCAAAATGATGAGGAAAACACCAGGCCTTGACCTTCTCAGTTCCTGGGAACTCTGGGAACCCTCTACCGAAAATGACCTGTGCTGCCTGTGCAGAACCGATCGACGTTCGACCCAGACATAGTACACATCCGGATTCATGTCTGGAATAACACATTGTCAAAACAGGTCCAACACATTCAAAACCTATATATATAATTATATATATATACAACATTATAAAATACCATTGCGGTATGAACATCCGTAATTACCAACTATTTCCAGGTTCACGACAGGTAGCAGGCTTTTGACCCAAGATTCTCTCTCCGCTTCCGCAATTGAATCTGCATATGACTGAATCATCTTGAACAGTAAAAACACCACATCTTTGCGCTTGTCGGCCCGATTATTCTTGCTTCACACCATGTTTCTTGTTAGAGTTTCAGATGACTCCGTCATCGGTTTGTCATTGTTTCTCCAAACGTAGCCAGTGCACCCATATTTACACACATTTATTGCCAGCAAATTGATATTGAAAATTATCTTCAACCATGAACATTTTGGAGGTTGTCCAGCAATTTTCAGGCAAAACCCAATGATCTAAAGTAGTTGGCGGTTTCTGTTTCGCAAATATGTTGAACATGTTTTAACTATATTTGGGATACTGATCTCCAACCAATGACCAGGGACTCAACCACCGAGCAGTTTATTTGGCGTTCCAAATCTCGCCTTCCTCTCTTCTCTTTCCGAGGTTCCTTTTGCAGGTGGGATGCTGGTGTGATCTCCAGGTTGCATCATTTCAGATCCGATGTTTAACGTTCCAATGTTGGGCTTATCGATAGTTATATACTATATATACCAAATAGTGCTGGTAGAAGCCTGATTTTTTCTGAGCCCCATTTTATCGATCTTTTCTGAGCACCACCCATTTTGGTGGTGATTTCCAGTTGTATCCCTCATCCAATATGGCAATGTGAAATCTTAAGGTTACCGGACCTCGGTATCCCGATAAGTGTTGTGGCTTACTGGGATGTTCCCACCCAGTAAGTAGTTTGTTACATGGTCCTACAATTCGTTACCACCCATATCAACATGAGATATCTATATATAGATTTATATAATGTGTATGTACTGTATTTATACAAATATATATATATATGCACCAGGCCCTGCCACCCACCCCCTCCCCGCCCATGGGATGGGTCCCATATACTGCCCCCATATGAGATCTTCCCCCTCCGCCCCTGTGGTGTGGTGGGGGTGTGGTATGGTATGTTGGGTATGTATGGTGTGTATGGTCGGTCTGGTATGGCATGTCTGGAAAGTATGGTATGTTTGGTATGTATGGTAGGTATGCTATGTATGGCATGAGTGGTTGTTATTGTATGGATGGTAAATATGGTATGTAAGTCTGTTGGGTATGGTATGTTTGATGTGACAGTATGTATGGTATGTATGGTTAGTATGGTTACTATGATGGGTATGGAATGTTTCCTATGTAAGGTAGGTATGGTATGTATGGCATGTATGTTTGGTATTGTATGCATGGTAGGTGTGGTAATTGTGTTTCATATGTATGGTATGTGTGGTCTGTATGATAGGTATGATAGGTATGGTATGTATGGTTACTATGATGGGTATGGAATGTTTCCTATGTAAGGTATGTATGGTATGTATCGCATGTATGTTTGGTATTGTATGTATGGTAGGTGTGGTAATTATGTTTCATATGTATGGTATGTGTGGTATGTATGATAGGTATCATAGGTATGGTACGCATGGCATCATTGGAATCTATGGTAGGTACGGCATATGTTCAACACATGTAGTGTTGTGAGAGTACACAGGTAGTAAATAGGAAGTAGATACATAGCCCGTGTATATATGACTATAGGATGACTATAGGTGGCACGTAGGTACTTTGAGGGAGTATGTGTGCTACGTAGGTCGCCTAAAAGGTAGCATGTACCTAGTAAATGCGAGGCTGGTACTCAGAAATGCTGCAAAGACCTAGCAAATACGAGGCTGGACCTCAGAAATGCTGCCAATAGCTTGCAAATAGAAGGGAAAGGGGGGTGCTACCTGGGGACCCAACCCATGGGGGGGTGGAGAGACAGAGACGGAGGACGAGACCACATATATATATATAGATAGTTATATACTGGGTTGGAACTAGTTGTAACAACTAAAAAATGGTTCCGCACACATGTCCAAAGCTCCACAAAAACTCAGCGTGCAGGTGAAGTACCTGTGCCCCGGGTAAACCGGGTAAACCTTGATTTCAGGGAATCTGAATGGAACGCTGGCTGGGAATTTCAACAAGCAATGGGGAATGGAAAATGGTCCATTTATAGCCTTGGGTAATCAAACCTGGCTAGCTGGGACATCTTCGAACTCAATGGGAGACTCTTTGAACTAAATTTAAATGACTTAAATGAGAGATGTTCAGGAATTTTCCAGCACGCCATGTTTGATTACAGGAAGGTAGATGATTTACCATGATTTACCATGATTTACCATGATTTACCTCTGAAACGTTCTTCATTGTTCATATAGCTATTACAATTATTAGAGGTTACTGGGTGACTTATTTGGGGCAATTTTCATGGTGTATAAGTTGCTGAATAGCTGTATAGCTCGGTTAAATTAATTTTGATGGTGTTGCTTTTTGCTAAAACAAATTATTGTTTTAAGCAGTTCTATATGTTTCAGACTTTTCCAGAAAATGTTCTTTTCCAAGGGTTTCTCAGAAAGTCAGAGAAGAATTACATAGACCCCATACCTGCAAACGAAACAGAATCACTATTTTTAACGAAGGCCCTAGCTAAGGTCTCACCATAATTTCTCAAATGCTGGCCGGCCATGACATGGCAGAATCCCCAAAGATGGTCCAATGAAAAAACCTGAGAAAAAAATCCCTATATTTTGTGATAGTCCAGTTTTACCATACTTCTAAAACCATGTTTTGATACTTAAATCCCCAGCTTCTTTCATTGCCACCCTTGGTTTTTGATGTTACCCTCTGGTAAACTAACAGTTTGCTATTGAAAATGGCCATCGAAATATTGGATTTACCCAGTAAAAATGGTGATTTTCCATAGTTTTTTGTATGTTTACCAGAGGATAAATAATGTTCAATCCCTAGTTGTTGATCTATTATTCCAGATTGGCCATGGTGAATTCAGAATTTTTGCAGGGTATCCAGGGTGTCAGACTGGTCCTATATGTGGTTTCCTCTATTTTAATGGTCAGATCTTGCATGTCCTCCATTTCTCCTCATATTTTTAGATTACACAATCCAGTGTTTTCCAATAGTTTGATTGTTCTTCTATGTTCCAGAATGCTCCAGTATTTTGACACTTTGATCTCAACATATTCCATTTATTCACGCTCACCCACATGTTTCCTATTTTTTCCCATGAGTTTTCTTGGTTTTCCAAGCGTGTCACCAGGTACGAAGGTCGTGAGGGCGAACTCATTGACTTGAACGACGAGATCGAAAAGTTGCCACCCTCCTACAGCTACTCGGGCGTCCCTTGGCCGTTTCATGACTCTGGTAGGGACCTGTGGGGAGAAAAAACCTGCGAAATTGGATGGATCAACCATTGAACATAAGGATTTAGCATGCGTGAGCCACGAAGAAATGCAGATTTCACTGGATTTAACCCTCAGAAATTGGGATTTCACCAGCTAAATGGAGGCAGACATAGCATTAAGCAATCCAAAATGAAAGTGTAGCCAACCAAATATGGAGGGTCAAAGCAACAAGAATGGGTAGAGAGGCAGACTTTTTTTTTGTGGCAAGCATTGATGCCATTGGCGATTTCATGGTGGGATTTCACCCCAAATTTTGGGGACTTCACCAGTTCCTGTGACTGATTTGTGCAGCTGGATTTCAAGATCAAAATTGAAACCATCAAACATTGGGATTTTTCCCTATCAAGAACAGTGATTCAACCATCTACCTGGAATCTACCTGTCGAAGAAAAAGGTTCGAAGGCAGGTTCGTCTTCGAACCTGCGTTCGTCTTCGCCGAGTCAAGGGTTGAACTTTTGGGGTTTTAGAAAACCAACGGAGTCTTCGCCATCAACAAATCAATCAAGGCCGGGGTTTGAACCAACGGGGATGGGGCAGAAACTTTCTGCCTTTGTAAAGCGATGAATTTTTGGTGGGTTCAGGGGGCATTTCACCACGAAATCTCGGACTGGGACGAACTACTTACTGACCATATGTCACATGTATATCCCATAGGATCCATGTATGCTATATATGGTGACATTTACCATCAATATACCCCCAATGTTAGCATATATACCATACATGGATCCTATGGGTATAATATTATATAATAATTAAACAAACATGAATAGTGTGTGCAATTCAAACGTGGCACTGGAACATCAACATGTTAGGCAACTCCTCTGTAAATTGATGTAAATATGGTGATGTTGCACTGCCAAGACTTAGAGCCGCTCCTTGGGTGACCTCAAATTTGGACTCTCCATGTCACCGGGTGGTTCGTTTGATATTTGTTCGATGGGTATATCATGGTAATTATACCTATGATATATCTATACTTGGGATAAGATAAACAAGCACAGATAAGCTGGGGGAACTTTCCCATGACTTGATGGTTTTAATGTTATAGAAGTCATCTTCCATATACTACCCATAAAAGCCCCATTTGTTGGTGGATAAGATCAGGAGCCGGGTGCCGACATCTTCCGCGACTGGGACTGGGAGGGCATCGCCCGCTGAGAGCGAGAAGTTGTGTTTTGAATGCATTGGATGCCGTTGAAGTGAAGGATTTCAACGAAAATAGGTTGTTTTCTAACCACAGGGATCAGTATTCGATTCAACCAACCTAAATCAGAACCCTAAAGAGACCCTAAAACAATCCTGAATAAACCCTAAGACAACCTTAAATAGCATCAAACATGAACTAAACAAACCTAAAATAAACCCTGAACCAACCCTAAAGAAATTCTCAACCAACTCCAAGTAAACCCTAATACAACCTTAAATAAATCCTAAACTAACCCCAAAGTAACTAATTTCTAGCTAAAATTTGGGCGAAGGTCTGCTGTCCGCCTAGGAGGGAAGAATATGCTCTCAAACGTAGCAGATTGTGGCATACTTCCAATGAACAGAGTCCAGACTTTAACCATAGATTTCTGCTGTAACGATCTCCCGCCAAAGAGAATGAGAGGCTCATGAACCATTCCGCAAAGGTGCACGGCCATCTTAGTGAAGTCCCCCTTTGGTCTGATGAGACATGTTTGACCATGTTGGCAAATGTCATCAATTTTCCCATGTTTGCTCTAGGTCGTTCCATTTTTTTTCGGGTTAGAATTTGGTTATCAACGACCACCATCCGATGCCACTGGTGACTCGTAGCTCCAACGGACGCGTGGCGTGGCGTTCAATGGTCCTCGGGTCGCAGCGCACTCCAAGTGGAGTCGATGCTGCCTCTGGGCAAATTAGAACAACCTCATGATGACCTCTAGCATCAAGAATGATGCACATGATACTTTAGGTATGGGGTATAGAATCAGAGAAATAATGCCAAACATTTCAGATTTCGGAGTTGCCATATATACAAAAATCAGATTTACGACTCCATTTACGGATTGAAACATCCTAAAAAAAACATTAAACATTATATCATTATATCAAATTATTAGGTGGTTGTAGCATATGACTTGTTCTGATTCGTTGAACTGAATCATACTGAATTGTTCAAGACTCAAGATAGATGGGAACCCAAGGCTCACCTCCGCATACCTCCATAGCTCCTAAGAATGATGGGTCAGTTGAACACAGACCTGGCTATAGACTACCATTTGGTTATTTAACATAGCCATGGAAAATCGCCATTTTTAATAGGTAGACCATCTATAATGGGCCATTTTCCATGGCTACGTTAAATAACCAGAGGGTAAATCATTCAACAAAGGCGATGGGGACGAACGCTGATTTTCCATGACCATCGCTACTGCGACTGAAGCTGAGTCCAGACCCGCTGTTTGTCGAAGAAAAGAGGACGGATGGATCCTTTGGTGCACGTCCGTGGGTCGGCAAAACTGTGCATTGCAGCAAAAACTAGGTTTCAGCCAACAAGAATGTCAATTTGACAGGATTTAACTGTCATTCAATGGGCCTTTCACGTACGTACATATATAACGTGGAGGCGCTTCGCCAAAGGAGGCCAAATGTCTGTTGCCTTTTAGTTAATCTGTTTGCCTGTCTTGCAATGATCCGTTTTGGACTGGTGGGTTTTATTTTCAGTGACATCCATTTCAAGTTTCAAGGCTCGAAACCCATGCGAAATTTTCAAGCGCAAAAACTAGACAAGCGGTGAAATTGGCTTTGGTTTATTCTTGACCATCCAATTCTTGTGGACTTTCCACTACACAGAACCGGAGGGTACCTTCTCTCTTGGGGTTGGGTCAAACAGCGCCGAAATGGATGGTATAATGAGTTTAATACACAACGCTACCAGCCATTTGTGAGTCAACATAGACGCGCAAGTTTTAACCATCGTCATATGTGAGACACAATACACAAATTGCGGATCATTGGGCTATGTCCCGAAAGCAGCAATGAAAAAGTGCTTTGACTTGAGAAGTGGTGATAATCTGTTAGTCTAACGGAACATGTGAGGTATAAGCCACGATGATGATGTCAATAGATTGGTTTAGGGGAAAATTTACAGGAACACCCGATATTTAATGGTAAAAACCATGGTTTCCTGTAATTTTCCCTTAAACCAATCCATTGATGATGATGATGATGATGATGATGATGGACCCGTTGAACCCCATGCCTACCGCTGCATCGCCCAGCTCAAGACCGGGATGAGCCCGGGCGTGCCTGGGATTCCATGATGGACAGCCCAAAGGCACCATGGAAACCTCAGAACGATCCCCCCATGGTAAGCGGAACCACCATCAAAATTGCCAAAACCTGGAATGGGTCGTGGAATTACATGGAATTACTGCATAGTAAACTACGATTCAGCCAGAATGCACCATCGGAATCCATCGGATGGATCTGGTCTCCATACACTCAAGTTGTTTTGGCCCCATATCCCACGAAAACTTCAACTCTTTGCAGGGTATCAGCAAAGCATACAGATGAAGCCTTCGAAATGCTGAAACAAAGCGAAGTATCGAAGCATCAAACAGGGAGCTGGGCAGCTGGTCCATCTGAAAAGAAGGGACATTGCATGACATTGCTATATTGATACGCTTCCTTTACAAGAAATTCTTATTGTTCAAACCCCAATGGGAGCCAAACCACTGATAGGTAACTCCAATTGATCAATTGCACGTACGAAAGTCAAAATATCCATCCCGTTTGTTGCATCACTATTCTGCATCCCTGTTTGGAGGGTTTCTCCAACCTAATAATGCCCACAGACGCCGTGTGTTGCCCAGACATTAACATTGAGAATGTCGTGCTGTCGAATATATGGTAGAAGAGATTGCAGAAAATACTGCGCATACGCAGTGTTTTCCCAGTTTAGGATTCAAAGTTTTCAGAGCCTAGGTTTTGGGGTTTAGGGTTTTAGGGTTTGGGTTTTAGGGTTTTGGATGGTTTAGGGTTTTAGGGTTTAAGGTTCGTCGTCTGGGAAATCTCAAAACACTGGCCCTGCGAAGGTGTTTGAGCATGTTGAAGGATAATGTTTTAACATGTTTAAACGCCATTTGAACTTTCCGGGCAACACATTCTTCCGCCTGGCTGTAATAAAAATACTATCCGGATCTATCCAGGTGGGGCAGGAGATGTTGTGTTTGTTAACCTCTGTGCCAACATGTTCACCTCCTTTTTGGCAACGATGATTTTCGTTGCCCGCACCGATATTTCCTGGTTCAATTCTCAATCTTCTTTGGGTAAAGCCCCACATGCCCAAAGCCACATTTTTTGATTTGAATCCGTATTCTTGTTGGCTTACCCATGGCGCATGGCTTTGGTTAGCCGCCTCTTTCTCCATGTTTGCCAACGCCGCACATACCGACTTGCAAGTGCAGTTCCAGTGATAAGTGGATATCTGGTTGGTGGTTTGGAACATTTTTTGTTCCATATATTGGGAATGTCATCATCCCAACTGACTAATATTTTTCAGAGGGGTTCAAACCACCAACCAGATACATAAAAGTCAAAAGGGCTTATATCCCAACTTTGGGGCTTTATAATTAACCATGATGGTACCCTGAACTGCACCCACAAGCAGGTTATTAGTCTATAATCTCTTTTTGTATTCCCATGAAATCCCATTAAATCACCATTTTTGTTGGTAATATATATATATATGATTATATATGTATATTCCTAACTGGGATGATTGAATTCCATTAATTCCCATTAAATCTCTGTCATACTCCCATGAAATCCCTGTAATATTCCTGTAATCATCCCAGTCTTCATCCCAAGCATTCAACTGGGATGATCCCCAAGTCGTGATCACCGATCCACGGCGCAGGGTCTCGTCGCGTCATCTTCACTGCCCTCCTTTGCCTCCGCGCAGCCCGTGCGGAAGCGCAGCGCAGCGTGTTTGATAGGAATTCACGAGGAAACGCTAGAGGTTTCGCCAACCAACATGAAGAACATGAAGAACATGTTAGATGGGGTTAGACATTGATGGGGTTAGAACATGCTGCCTGTACTCCTAATTTCGCATCACAGTTTGATGGGGTTAAACATTGAAATATTTCTATAGGAGTACAGGCAGCACGGGGGTATTTGAGCATCAATAGTCAATAGTAATCAATAGTGACAATTAGTAATTAACTAACCTTTTTTTGAGGAATGCTTACAAACTCAAGCAATACATTTAGCCAAGAAGAATGTGGGGATGAACACCAATCACACCGAGTTATTTTGATAGGGATGTAAGCCAGGGTGCACGGTTTTATATCACCCATAACCAGAACCAGATGACCCAATGGAAGTTGGAATGATTCAATTCAGACCACAGAAAATGAGGCGACAACATGATGGACCAATGTAAAGATTATATAACCTTGACCTAAGAATCAGGTTTGAACGAGTGTATATGTTTCCGCACTGTCATCTGTATAAAATTCTACATATAATATGTGAGATTTGTGTACCAGAGGGAAGAACCAACAACTACTATGGAATAAGTCCCAACCAGAATGGGCTATCAACAAACAAGTGCACTTTGGGATTGATGATTTGCATTGGTTTTATGAGGTAGTTCTACCAGACTTGCGGTGAAAAGCCATGACAACCACATTGCTGGTAAATGGAGGTTCCCTAATGGCTGGTACCCCAAGATGCCAAGCTCGCTGGATGGTTTATTTCATGGACAATCCGAACATAAAATGGATGATGACTGGGGGAACCCCTATTTTAGGAAACCACCAAATGAATGTAAATAGTGGGGGATCTCATTGTGGAATTCCTCGTCCTCCTCCTCCTCCTCCTTCCCCTCATCATCATCATCATCACCATCATTGTCATCATCATCGTCATCGTCATCATCATCCTTTCTGTCATTTTCACGTTTCTTGGGTCTTAACTACTTGAACTAGGGTCTATGGTAGTTAGAACATTTTTTTGAACTATAGTAAGATGGCATAAACCATAACAAAACCAGCAAACAGGTCTGCCCACATATCGTGCTGAAAAATGCCTCGTGCTGGGACACGAATTTTGACCACCGCCCAGGGGGGGCCATGGGTGAATCGACGAGACCACTTGATGTCCGTAGGGAAGACCGTGGTCCGAGA